CCCGTGGGTGTGTGGGTATTAATTGTAACAGGAGGAAGGGAAAAGCACATTTATTCATTCATTCATTCATTCATTCATTCATTCATTCATACATACAACTTGTATGCCACCCCATCACATTCTGGCATGATCATAACCATGCACTAGGCCCCATTACCCATTATGCTTAGAAAAAATAATTTAAGGTCCAGATCTTCTTGGTACTTGTAAGATCCCTTTCTTTCTTGTCTTAATACAGGCTGACTGGAGGTACTGGCAATGCTCTGATTGAAGAGTCTATGGTCTCTTTTAAGCTGAGTGGCAGGAAAAAGCATTTGCTGATTGAACTTGACAGGTTCAGGCTTTTCCTGATCATCTGCCCTATCTGTCTACATCAGTTAAATGCTTAACTTTGAGGTCTTTCCAGTCTGTGTTACCATGCTTCTTAAGTTTCTAGGCCTCATAGTTGCAGAAGTGCGCTTTCAGATGGAGGGCTCCTAGTGATAACAGTCAAAAGGCATTATACAGCATTTCCATCTGTCCTTCCTTAATGATTTTTAATGGATAGTAAAAAGATTGAAGAACATGTGGGAAAACATGAGATGGCTACAAATTAAAGACAGTGTTGTCTCCACCCCCCAATCAAACAAGACAATACAATTGCTCAACCAAAGCTTCATTTGGAAGCAAACTAAATCAGGAAAATGTGTAAGTGACAAGACCAGTGTCTCCACCTATCCTACCAGTTCTGGCCAATGTGGAACAAATCCTCAAGTCTGATTGACAAGCTAGGAAAGCAAAGTGGTGGGTCATTAAAGAACAAGAACACAATCCTATGCAAGTTTAAGCAGAAGAAAAAGACCTGAAAGTTGTTGGCCTTTTCCCCTGCTTAAACTTGCATGGAACTTGTTTTAAATCTCTTAATAAACCCATGCCCCGGAGAGTTCATTACTGATAGGGATAGCACTGGACCAGCTGTATGTGAGAAGGAATGTAATCCTTTTTTTTTTTCTTCTTCTTTTTAAGTAGGGGTAGTTTTCGAAGGCGCTGTGCTATCAAAACCAAGATTAGGACGGAGTCAAGGTTGATTGGAAAATCAACAAGGCAGAATCCTCTCTATGAGGATCCTTCTGGATCTGGAAAGTCTATTTCATGAGGCTGCCAAGGGGGTGGGGAGGACAGAAAGCTCCTTCTTGGCCTCCAGGCCATGGCTTTCACTCGAAGACTAGAGCCCATTTGTGCTTTGGATGCCAGCCCAATTGGTTCCCCTCTCTATAAATGTTGGCTTTTGCTGATGGAGCTAAACAGCCAGGCCATTGTGTGTGTCAGGGCCACTGGAGAAATTGTCGGAGTGGTGTTTTGTATAGTGTGTCTGTGTGTTCCCTTTTTGGGTTGTCTTCCCCTCCTCCTCCTGCAGAAACCCTGTTGCCATGACGATCATGTCACAGGGACTGTTGCTTTTCCATGCTGCCTATTTGGAGAGGCAGGCTAAAACCAGAACAGCCTCTGTATTTTGACTTCGTGGTCTGCGTGTCCTTTGTAAACTGGATGTGGTCTTGGAACGCTGAATGGCAGATCCACCTCATGCCATTCCTCTGGGCTTGGTGCACAATGCCCTAAAGCATTGTGTCTGGTGTCGCTGGCAGCCTGTGGGTTTGGCCCTGAGGAGAGAAGGCTGAGCCCGTGCCCTGTGGATACTACCTCACTGCAGGAAGTTTCCATGCCTTGTAGACCACGGGTCCCTCTAGCTAGCCCCGTGTTTTGAACACCGACTGACAGGAGCACTTCAAGGTTTCAGGCTATACTTGGACGTGCTTGGGATCAAAGCTGGGGCCTTCTGCGTGCAGAGCGTGTGCTCTGCTACTGAGCTGTAGCTCCTTTTGTGTTCCAAGAGGGCATGTTTTGAACAGAGACTGTGTTGGTGGGAGGACTGAACATAAGTTTGGCCAAACTGTTACTGACAATTTAAAGAAAACCCCATTTTGCATCAATTAAAACTAAAAAAGCCCACTCTACTCTGGACAAAGGAAGTGGTTTGTTAGCATCAGCAATTTCAAGAGATGATAAATTACTTAGTGATTCAGAAGTGCAAAGGTCAGAGGCAGAGACTCATTTGCATGTTGGTTTCATGCATTTTCGTTTTATAGGTCAGGAATGTGGCATTGCCAGAATTCTGCTCCGAGGAAGCAGACCGTGCCACTGCTTTTCAAGCATTAGGTATGTTTTCTGCATCTGTGTGTGCAAGCACCGCACAGACAGTCTTGTTGGAAGCTGAGCATAACCGCAGAAGGTTACATGGTAGTGTCAGCTTCTTAACAGAGTACCACACTTCCAGCAGTGAGATAACATCTACATCATCCAGCATTTGACTTGGAGCAACTGAGTATTTTTTTGGTCCTGATTTTCAGGCCTCTGCTTTTGTTAGAGAGATGATTGCTGTTAAAGCTGGGCCTAGATTTATAGTAAGACAAGAAGTGCAGCTCAAAGCTTTTTTTTGTGTGTGTGTGTCCCTTGATTTACAAAGAGCACTTTGCCAAAGGACAAAGTGATAAAGCAGTTGTTTTGCATTGAAAAGGTCCCTGCTTCAACCCCTGATTTTTCCTAGTAGAGGTAAGAGAGCTACAGAGTCAAAACTGACAATACTGAGTTGGATGGCCAATGGTCTGACTCATTAGAGAGAGTGGGATGCTAATGGTCAGCCTTCAACAAATCTAATAAATAATAAGTCAGCTTCTGATTTGCCTGTAACCTTACACAATGATCCATTTCCCAACCTGTGTATTCTCCGCCCTGTTCTGGGCATTCCTTAAATTCCTAGTGTCCATAAGTGAACCTCTATTGTTAGGACCACATCCTTGTTCCAGTGCCCTTTGTATGAAACCCGGAGGCAGAGAGACTTCTGTGCAGACACACTAGTGAGATTTGGTTAGAGCCCTGAGCAATGCACCCCGTGGGGGTCGTGCTTAGAGAGGACCTTAGTAACTCCCACGGCATGTTGTCCGTGGAAGAGTAAATGGCAGATGGCTCTACAGTAAGGGTGTTAAAACAAGCCCTGCTGTGATCTCCTCCTTCCCTGCATAGCCTTCTAATACTCCCAGCCCACACACAGCAGGGTTAAGCTTCCCTGTGCCTGCTAGTGAAGTACCAGCAGATATCCTCCTCCTGCAAGGGAGCAGGGAGCATGGGGGGGGGGGGTGCAAATAAGGCAGCAGCTTGGAAGGGAATGAGCCCTCAATGGGTCTTTTCTAATGCGGATTTGTGAGGTCCTTGTATAGGATGAATAAAGCCCTTTGTGGCTGTGGCACTCTACTATTCTGCAGGCTATGACATAACAGCTTAGAAGGGTGACACCTGCCAGGTCGTGTTAGTGCTATTACCAGTCACCTTGTGACTCATTAAGCCCGGGTTACATGGAATAGTAGCTTAGCTACTTCCATCTCTCTAAGGCAAAGCTGCCAGTTTTTCATGGTACAGGTGGTGGGGGTTGGGGGGGTTGAATTCCAGGATTGGGGTGGGGGTGGGGAGTCATAAAATGGGCTGTCAAGGCCCCTTGACCCTATTGAATGTGTTCCTCACCTCCATCTTCACTGTCTAAGCCATTATTTGCTTTGTGATTAACCATTGGATCCAACTGCCAATGAGGAGGTGATTTCTTGGCAACTGCAACTTTTGTATTGAAGTTTGCAAGGCTGCAACTTGGAGGATTCTGTTAGGTGTGTTCAACACCTTGTGCACACCCAGTAGAACTCCTTCATGTTATTTTTATCTTCTGGTACAGCCATATCACATATGGCTTTCAAAACTCTACTGAATTTGCTAATAGTTTGTTATGCAGCATTAGCTTTTGATGTTCAAGAAAACAATACTTAAAGCCTTACTTGGGAGCACAACAGCTTTATGTTCAGGGCTGGGCACTATTCCTTCTGGATGCCAGAAACTTGGTCACAACCCTACTGAGCAGTTTCTTTTGGACAGTGTCCCATCTTGTATCAGATTGCTCTTGTTCTCCTGAATCCCATGCAGGTGATGGGCTATCTTAATTCTTCTTCCACTTTTTTTTTCATTCAAAGTATCTGATCTAGTAAATACTGATTCTCCCCCCTGAAATAACTAGCTGGCCTCTGTGTGTACGTTGTGTATGAATAAACGTTCCATAGCAATGTCACAGATAGTATTTCCTCACCTTTTGGCACTATGTGGAACAACAACTCTCACGTTGCCCAGCATAGCCACCCTTCTCTTTGCAAGCATGGTTATAAGCAATCTGTCAACTGCACATAACGTTGCATGTCTCTAGTCCATTACAGCTGATGCCACAATGCATTTGTTTTGGTTTTAAAAATGGTTACTTTGTTCTTTTGGCATTTTGGCTATTCTATATTGTGAACATAGCAGTATTTATATAACTTATATGAAATTACAGTAGCTGCTAATATTTATGATAAAATAAGTGTCTCTTCCAGATGTGATGAATTAACACAAGGGAATTATTATTAATAATTATTATGAACGGTAATTACATACTGCCCATAGCCAAAGCTTTCTGGGAAGTTCACTGCATTATATAACCCATCCAGATTTCAGCCAGGTTCATCCCTGCGTAGTTTCCAAGATTAGACAGGATCTGGCACTTCAGACTATATGGAGCCTAATATCTCTAGGGTGAAGTTGCCAGGAAGGAAGATTGTTATCACATTTCTATAACTCCCATAGTTGAAACTCTCTGGGTGGTTCACAACGTTAAGCCACCCATCCAGATTTCAACCAGGCTTGACCCTGCTTAGCTTCCAAGATTAGGCAGGATCAGGACTCTAAACTATACGAAGCTTATATCATGGAAATGCACTGTGGGAATCTCTCTGTTAAACTTAGTTTCTTGGCTTATTTTACTGTGTTCCTTGTGCACTGGATGTGACATCTTTCACTCTCCCACCCACCCAATGTATGATCCTTTAAAGGAGCAATTTAATTCGTTATGACATAAAGGGAGACTGTCCTCACTCCTTTTATTGTTGTTCCAGGATTCGTCCTCAGATGCCAAAGGAGAAAATCGAAGGATGTCATATTTGTACTTCAGTGACACCTGGAGAGCCCCAGGTACTCCTGGGAAAGGACAAAGCATTTACCTACGACTTTGTCTTCGACTTGGATACTTGGCAGGAACAGATCTATACCACCTGTGTGAACAAGCTCATCGAGGGCTGCTTCGAGGGGTACAATGCCACTGTGTTGGCATATGGCCAGGTATACAGCTGATCTGCCTTCTTCACAATCTGCTATGAACAGGCCGGAATGGGTTGGAATCAGCCAAGACTTCTCAGCTCCATCATCATTCCATTTCTGCAGTGGCCTCACTACAAAATAAAATAAGAAGCTTAGTTGGTGGTGGTTGTTAGGACAGGCACATTTTTTATCATTTTTATAGACTTTCAAAGCTACCTGCTGGCTGGTCTTTTTCTGATCAGAACATGGATGAAGTACTTCCAGTGCAGAGCACTGGAAATAGTGGTGAAAATAGGGTTATTGAATTGTGAGAAGGGCTACTTAGGAAAAAGCATGGATGACTTCCATGCACAGTCTTTCCCATGTAAATGGTGTACCTGCACTGGCCGCACATTTGCCTTGTCTGTAGAGTCGACAAGCTGAACATTTCAGTGCATATAAATTTAGGAACAAGAGGCGTATTGGATGCACATATAACACTCTTCAAAAGCAACATAGAGATGCACAATGAGACAAAGCCCAAACATCACTTTTTGAGGAAGCCTAGTACAAACTCATGTCAGATTTCTTACACTTTTTCACTTTCTAGGATCCTGGGTGCTCAGGAAAGTAGAAAAGGGTGGGCCAATCCTTTTTTCAGAACCATGGAGATTTGATAGCTGGCTGTCGTAACTCCACTTCCTTTTAAAAGGGGTTTCTTGACAGGAGTATCCATGATTTTTTTGACTGAACCATGTATTTTTTGGCCTGTTTATGTAAAAAAATAACCCAACCCCCTTTTTTTTCAAACTGTTGTTGCCCAAGTGATCTTTGGGTTTTTTTGCACCTTTCCTCCAAGAGGCATACCTCCTTGAGGAATGAGACTTTAGCTTCCCAGGAAGCATGTGAGGTAGGTAAAACTGAGTAATAGTGGCTTGCTCAAGATCACCCAGTGAGTGCCATACTGTGTAAGTATTTGAACCTGCTTTTCCAATATCCCAGCCCATATTCTAACTTACAGGCACCATACCGGCTTTTACCAACCCTCAGGAAAAGATGGGAGAGAATTTGAAATTAATTAATTGGCTGCAAGAAGAATGCCTTGTAATGTAATGTGCTTAAGTAAATGCAAAAAATGACTGTAGATTAGCTTTTAATTCAAAGCTGGTTTAAATACGTCTTCTCTCCTCCCTCCATCTGCCCTGCCAGGGCAATTTTATTTCTCTCTGCCCTGCAGCAGGCATTCTAGCTGGTAGCTAGAACAACCAGATCAAATATGGGGAAAGATTCATCTGAACTAGAATTATAAAGTGGGATAAAGGTTATGTATTTAATGATTCTGTATGGAAAGTGTAAGGATCAGCAAAGTTGGGTGGAAAAGAGCATTGCAGTGAAACGTTGACTCTGAAAAGCACCTGTTCTGTTTTGTTTCAGACAGGTGCAGGTAAGACTTACACCATGGGCACTGGCTTTGACATGAGCATTTCCGAGGACGAAAGTGGCATAATTCCAAGGGCCATTGCCCACCTGTTCAGTGGCATAGAGGAGCGCAAGCGGGCAGCGCAGGAACAGGGCGTGCCAGCACCAGAGTTCAAAGTCAGTGCGCAGTTCCTGGAGGTAGGTACACTGGCCTTTGCCTCAGAGGTAGTGTGGGAAGAGTCAGAGCGTGTAAGCTTTACATATAAGTATGGTTGGAAAATGAAGTAGAAGTTTCTGTTTTGGCCTAGGAAAGAGTACTTCCTGCAGGCAAATAGAAAAATCATGGATTACAGCATGGGATATGCCTATACATCCAACAGCAAATCAAATCAAATTTGAGCTTGCTTTTAGAAAATTAGGAGACAATGTAGCCCTTTTTCTCATGAACAGAAATAAATTCTTTCTTCCTTATTCACAAGTGCTATTCCATTGTTCAGCATCTATTTTATTTTTATGTACAGAAGACCCCATTAAGGGCATCCTTGATTCCTGACAAAAGCATTTTTATTTTAAAAAATCTAGTTGATTTATTTATGCACAAGTTCCCAGATCCCAGTTGGTAAGTAGCTATTTAGAGGATTCCTGTGGGCCAATTTTAGCGCTTATGGTACAATCCTATATGTGTTTAGCCAGAAAAAAGGTCCACAGTGTATTAGCTTGGGCACAGGGGGAGTTGTAGGTCTTTTTTCTGACCAAATATGCATAGAATTGCACCTTTAAGCAATCTGTTCAGATGTTTATAGGCTTATCAGTGATGGAATATGGCAGCATTTGTGCACCTTGCCCCATGGGATTCTATGAAGCTCCGCCCTCTCCAGTTTCATCTCTGTCATAAACCTCCCCTCACCTCAAAACATCAAAGTGTGAACTGCATTTCTCTTGGAAAAGGAGTGCCAAATTGTGTAGGCACAGAAAATATACCAATTTTATGCTGCCTATTCCAGATATAGAATTGAAGAACTGTTAATTCTCATAGAGCCTTTGGCAGTACTGTTAACAATGCTTTTCTTTAACTAAAACAGTGCTCTGCTTTGATCTTCTGAGAGACTCTCTTTATAAAAAGACTCACCCATTTGTGTTACTTTATACTTGTAGGGGCTTTCTGAGAATCATGCAACCTACTGTAAAATATGTATGTATTTCTGTGTCTTTGCTCAGCTGTATAATGAGGAGATCCTGGACCTCTTTGATAGCACACGGGACCCTGATTCCCGCCATCGGAAGTCAAACATTAAAATTCACGAGGATGCCAGTGGTGGGATCTATACCACAGGTGTCACATCACGTCTCATTGGCTCGCAGGACGAGGTAGGTGAACCAACTCTTCATGTACAAAATAACCTGTTTGTGTACCATATTAATTAGTTTGGAGTAGCTGCTACCTCCTGATTTTATGATCAGAGTTGATAACACAGATAAGAATCTCTGCTTCATTCCTAAGAATCGATGTAAAGAGTTTGTGCTTGATTTTAAAGGGCAGGTGGGTGGGAAGGCAGACAGATTGCTTTTTTCAGCTGGTATGATAGGAAGGCTAAAGGGTTCTAAGCTTTAACTAAGCTGCATGAAGTGATCTTGAGTATGTGCTGCAAAAAATAAGCCATGGGTGTTTTCTGTTCCCATGGAAGCATTTTCAGACAAGAATTCTGTAACTGCATTTCAAACTGCTGCCTAATTGCATTTTATCTCAAGGCAGATGCTAACATTCTGTGTGACATATGCGGTTGTTGACATGCCTTACTTGGGTGGAGTCCATAACACAGCCCACTTTTCAGCTATGAGTCAACCCTCTCTCATCCCTCAGTATTTTGGATTTAATAGCACAGAACATCCTTTTTGCATTTTCTGGGGGTTTTATATTTTTCTCTCTCAGCTGGAATTGTTATTGTTCCCCTTTATATTCTGGTTGATACTATATCCATTAGCGAGTGGGAATCATTTTAGCTTTTATTGGCCCTAATTAACCTGCTGATCCTGGATAGTAGCCATCCTTTCGATCCTTTGCAGGGTCAGAAGCCTAAACTGAGTGTTACACAGAAGTACTGTGACTCTTTGCTTTCAAAATTCTTTATAAAAATCATCACTGATAGCTGCAATAGGGCATGAGAAGATTGGAGGTGGAGAAGAGGCTGTTTACATCAGTCTTTGTTCAGAATTGCCTCCTGTCCCACCTCAGGTGCTTTTCATTTTCCAGGAAAAGATACAGGAGAAATTAGCAGTTGAAGAGTGACTTTGCTTTTCCTTTATTTCATTCCTCATCCTCAGAATTTCTGTTGAAAGGGGATACAGAAATTTCTGTAATAATGAAATAGTTTATGAATGTTAACACTAAAGTCCACACCAGCTCTGAAAACTTATAAATGTCATGTTAAAAATCATGCAAAGCATAAAATGAATTAAATACTGCCACAGCCAAATGCATATTTATGGTTCCCAATTCATGTGTGATTCTTTCAGAAGACAATGAACAGCTCCCATACTTTTGTTAATTTATCCATATGGATCCTTCCTTCTGTCATTTGAATAATACCTATTATTTTTTCCATAACAACCAGGTTCCATATCTTTTGCAACCACACTGAATCACTGGGAGCTTATGATTACTTGTAGATCTTTGCAGTACATATGCTAGCAACCACCAATAGAGATGAAAATAATTTATATGCTTTAAAAAAGAGCTTTTACTGTTCTCAGTCAAAATTATATCCAATGATATAACTAGTCATTCAAATAATTATACTTAATATCTCATGCCAGAAAACTTTAATTTTAAGGCTGTTCAGCCACATGTGTATGTGTGTACCCTTTGAACCATATATTTTCCAGCAACAGCCTGGCCATGAGCAGTAATTTTTTTAGTTGCCAAGGCTGATCTAGGAATCAATTTGAAGTGTACCTTTTTGTAGCTTACACAAGTAGACTATAAAACCCCTTTCCTTCAAGTAATGCAAGCCATTACCATCTAATTTAACATTTAATTCTATCTCCCAATGAGAAACTGGTCCCTTTTGCCCATAATTCCCATTAAGATCTTGCATTCCTAGACATAATCCCTTTCATCTGATCCAAATCAGTAATGGATATGTTGGCAGACCTTTGTTTCAGAGCTTAAATAATGACAAAGAAACTGAGAGAGAGGAGGCCTCCTACCATTTTAATAAGGAGTTGGCCTACATGTGAAATAACATTTCTGTCCTACCACCATGCCTTAACTCTTGCACAAGTCCTTAAGCTCACAAAGACAAGGGGCTGGGTCCTTGTGACATGATAAGCCACACAAGATAGTAAACTCCACAGTGTGACTTACAAGCCAGTCTACCTCTGATGTGCCTAACCAACAATTGGCACATCTAACATGAACCCTTCGCTTTGGCACTCCTCAGGTATCCCATGGGAACACCAAGGCTTCTCCTCACTCCCTACTGCTGCAAGCATTTTTAGGCTCAGCTTTAATGTTTAATTAATTAATTAAAATATTTTTACCCCATCCTACACAGAAATCGTCCCAGGATGGCTTACAATACTAAGAACAATAAAGAAACATATATAATAACAAACAAACAAAATGTGACTGTGAATATATTAAAACCAAGTTAAAATTCCTTAATCCTTAAACTAATGGGAAAATAAAAACACTTTTACCTGGCGCCGAAAAGAATATAAAGTTGGCGGACCTGTCGGGGAGCACATTCACAGTCGGGGCTCCACCTCAGAGAAGGCCCTCCTCTGGGTATACACCCTCTTTATTTCCTTCAGGGAGAGTTCCTGGAGCAAAGCCTCTCCTAGAGATCTTAGGGGGCGAGAGGGCATATAGGGAATGTTTGTTTTCCCACGGTCAAAAACCCCATCTTTCACAATCCATGGTTTTAGAACTATGAACCGTCCCACTAAGATGCCCTAGCAATACCACGGAGGAGCTGCCTGTAGTTGCCCACCATGTTTTCCCCATTCTGGGCAAAAGGTGTTTAAAAATGTTGGACAAGCATAGGCATTCCCTCCAGCGGCCTGTCAGGCACATCTTCTGCTTGACTATTAAAAGTCTTTCAAATAGATTATTGCAAGCTTATGGACTGGTAACTTCTAGCTTTATTCCAGGATTTTAATGATACAACTTCCTTTCTGTTAATTTTCTGAGTCCTTAATCTGGAGGCCTCCGAAAACCACTATTATTTGATTACACAGGATTTATATGCTTTTCTCCTCTTCTGGGGAACCAAAGGTGGTTTACGTAGCTCCATTTTAATCCTCACAATAACTCTGAGGTAGGTTAGACTGAGAGTCTGTGACTGGACTAAAGTCATCCGGTGGGTTTCATGGCTGAGTGGGAACTTAAACTCAGATCTCCCACATCCCTAGTCCAGCACTCAAACCACCATACTGGCTCTCATGAAACATGAAACCATAAAACAGAAGTGGGCAAACTGAATGCTTACAAGCCGAGGTGAGCCAAGCCGAGCTGAGTCCAAAAAAAAAAAAAAGCTCAAAAAGACAGGCATAGAATTACAGAAATGGTGCCACTGTGCTTGGTTCAGGAACCTGTTTTCAGGACCAAAATGTGCCTGCAAACCTTAATCTTGTTCCTCTTGAGTTGTAGCAACCTAATTTTAGAGGTAGAAAGGGGTTTTGTCGTTGTTACTGAGAGCTGGAAAACCTTACTAGTATACCAAAAATCACTCAGAAATCTACCAATAGATTCTAATCTCTCTTCTGCCTAGTCCTGTTATGAAAGATACATCAAACAGGATTTCAGCCCTTTTGATCAAAACTGTCTCCGTGATCTCTCTTCTCTTCACTGCATCTTTAAAAAGCAGTTTGTTATATCATCAGAACATGTCAGGCCTTATCATGTAATTTATTGTTTAGTAATATGGATCTCTATTCTTAAGAGGCTTTTGTGCAGTGTATTTCACATGTCTGGAAAGATTAGCTTTATATTTTATTGGTTGGATTTACAATAATGAATATTAGACAAGTTTTAATATTTCATTACCTCATTCATTTATATTTTGTCAGTGAAACAGAAAGCATTTAGAACCATTTGAAATATTGATAAATCATGGCAGCAGTTTTATTTATTTATTTGATTATTTAAGTATATTTCCGTACTTGTCAATAAACTTCCTGGGTGTGGTTCACAGGGATTTTGTTTTGTTTGGTTGGTTTTTGTATTTGTTTGTTTTTAATCAAAGGAACCCAAAGGATATGTCCAAAATCTTTAAACTTATAGCTTTGTAAAGCATGCCTTGCCAGATTTTTATTGCTGCATTATTTAATTTAAATAAGTGAGCCAACTCTGTAGTAAACTCCCCCCTGGGAAAAGTACTAACATTGCAAACCTATTATGGTCTTCAGTGGGACATAATCCTGTCAGAGGGGAGGAGGTCATATTGAGCAGGAAGCAGCTGGAGGGGAAAGGGTTAAACAGCCCTGCTTATGTTTCCCACCACTCTTCACATACAGGCTTTTTTTAGCCAGGAGAAAGAGCTGCAGGACTGAATGCTGCATCTGCTTTGGCTCTGTTATAGCCTGGTAGTGGGCTGACTTTTACAAGAGCTAATTAATGAAACAAGATCCAGCAGGAAGCTGCACTGCAGCAAGTGTAAGCAGGGCTGAAATATGGTACAGTTTGGTTTTGGGTACTTGTATGTGTGGCCTTGTATCTGAGCAGAAAACATAACCTCCTCTCTTGCTGCAGTTGATTCAGTGCCTGAAGCAGGGAGCTCTGTCCCGAACCACAGCCAGCACCCAGATGAATGTCCAGAGCTCCCGCTCCCACGCTATCTTCACCATCCACCTTTGCCAAATGCGTGTCTGCTCCCCTGTACACTTGGTAAGGACACAGGAGGGGGCAAGGGCTTGAAATGGGGGTGCACCTTCCCTTGATGTAGTCAAGTGGAACAGGAGGATAGGAGCCTTCCCTTGTACCAGCATGCCTGCACACTGAGACCATCAGCAGGACCTGTCTCACCGGACTGCCTCCAGGGGTGGCTATCATGTGTACAAAGGAAAGGTCCTTGTCAGAGGTGGCCCCACACTTCTAGAACCAGGGGTTCATCAGACCCTTTCCTTGCAGGTCTTCAGGAAGGCTCTGAAAACCCACTAGTTTTCACTAGCTTTTCCACTAGATGGGTTATCTTTTCATAATCTGTGGGCTGCAAGGTTCAATTGATGATCTGTTTGATTGATATTATCTGTTTTTATAGTATTGTACTGAATATTTATGTATTGCCTTTATATTTGTTCTGTTATAGTTTTATATTGTGTTTTATAGTTACACTTCCTTGGGAAAATTCTATCCATAAAAGCAGCCTAAAGTAGTTTTAAATAAATAAATGATGGTTGTGCAGGGACTTGTCTGGTCAAGAACGTAGGTAGCAGGTGTCTAAGGCTGGAGCATCAGGACCAGGGGCGATGGAGGAGAAATGAGATAGTGATGTTGATGTAGCAGGGCCAGAGGTAAAGGCAAAATCAGGCACAAGCAAGGATCAGATTCCATCAAGGCATGGCAGATCCAAATGTGAAGGCGGAACCAAGCACAGATGAAGTCAGATACTGAGAAGGAATGGCAGAGTCAGGAACAAACAATGATCAGATACCAACAAGGCATGGCAGAACCAGGCACCTGGCAAGGTGTGGTTAGATGTTGACAGAAACTGACATACAGCACCACCAACAAGGGAAAGCAGCGGCTGTGGAACTTGAAGTGACCTTCTATTACTTCAGTATAGCAGGAATGACTCCTTATCTTAATATCAGCAGACTCCACTCTTTGTCTGTGGCAGAATATATTTATGCTAACAACTTGTGCTGGCAAAAACCTCGAGATCTGATATTGGGGCTTGTTTTCATTACAGGTGAATGGAGACACAAACAGTCTCCTGGAGGGATCCCAGGCTACCAGTGAATATGAAACCCGAACAGCCAAATTCCACTTCGTTGACCTGGCTGGCTCAGAGAGATTGAAGCGGACTGGTGCAACAGGCGAGAGAGCCAAAGAAGGGATCTCCATAAACTGTGGCTTGGTATGGCCTTTATCATACAGATAGGTCTGGATGTAAGAACAGGTGCTGGGGCCTGTGATTTTTTTGCCTGGCGAATTTGTACTTTCCTCAGCTGTTTGGCATTTTAGAGCGTCCATAACTCTTGGCTTGGTGTTGCAGGCTTGCCTGTTTCTATCTACTAGTGTGTCTAAAACATGAGCAGATATGGGAAGCAGTTCATTCACAATCATTCATGATCATTCCATGCATGGCAAATTGTGTTTTACAAAATAAAGAAATATAGGAAGAGGAAAGGAGCATGGCACATAAGAAACAGGAAAAGTTATTTGGGAGAAACAGTTGCCAAGGTCCGTGGGTTTAACTTTTTGATGTTGCCTTTTAAAGATTTCTTCCATAGTTATAAGGGCTAGAAACTTGCTTTTTAAAATGTTGAGATTCCTGGGAGTTGGATAAAGTTACAGTTGAATCCAGAACAGTAGTTAGAACAAAAGCTTATTTCTCTGTCTGTTTGGCAGCAACATCTCTAGAATAATAGAAAATTGGTGGCTTTTACCAGCCTTATTTTAGGAAAAGAAGACTTACTCCCTAAGCTGATATGTGAGATGGAGAGCTGACATTTCAATAGGGAGAGAATCATCCAGAGCTTTGGTGACTTTTCAGTGAGAAATATATGAAGCAGGGTTCCCAAAGTGGCCAGCCTTATTGACTGATTTGTCCACTTTTTTGACAGCTAGCACTGGGGAACGTCATCAGTGCCCTTGGGGATCAGAGCAAGAGAGCCCTGCATGTGCCCTACCGAGATTCAAAGCTGACCCGGCTCCTCCAGGACTCCCTTGGTGGCAACAGGTAATGGGAAGAGACATTGGAACAGCTGCTTGTGGTGGATCAGAATTCTCAGAAGTGCTTATCTAAGGTTTCTGGCATGCAGGTTCTGCGTGAAAGCCTGTCTTGGTGTTGTGTTCTTATTAACACTGCCTGGCTGTGGGAGGGCTTAATCAGATGTCTTGAAGCAAAGCTGCAACAAATGTTCTAAGGAATATATTTTCATACATATTTTAAGCTTCATTTTTTCCCAGAATTCCAAGTGTGATTATTGGTTTCTGCAGAATGAACGCTTACATAATATGCTTAAGCTGTTTTGATCTAGAATGTTGGCAAGTGACCCTTCTAACATAGGATAATTGTAATCTCCTCCCTCCCTTTTCTAGTCTATTTCCTTTAACAACTGCCCTTCTTTTCTTCATGGAGCAGTTGGCAAAAGTTTGTTCTTTTGTTTGTTATTTTGTCGAACAAACGCGAAAAGTTTGTTCGAGATGCTAGACTGCATTTTGGGTGGAAGCCTATATTGCGAACATCTTGGTCAATGCCTTGTTACTTTTATTTGGAAACAGCTGATGGAGCAGAGAGTCTAAAAGACCTCCAGTGCATCACCCTGTCCATGTTGACCCTGTCTGCCCTCCTCTCTTTATAGCCAAACCATAATGATTGCCTGTGTGAGCCCTTCAGACCGGGATTTTATGGAGACTCTGAATACCTTGAAGTATGCCAATCGTGCTCGCAACATCAAGAACAAAGTGGTAGTGAATCAGGATAAGACAAGCCAGCAGATCAGCGCTCTGAGAGCTGAAATTGCTCGTCTCCAGATGGAGCTCATGGAGTACAAGGCGGTAAGGAGAAAGAAGGAACACTTTGCTGTTGCAGGTGAAATCCTGGTCGTGGCTGACATTGAACCACAGACCTTCAGCGCTAGAAACAGTCTTCTTGTCCACAGTGGTGATTTTGAAGTCATTGCTGTTGACTTGTCCCTGAAATTCAGCAGTGCTAAGCTGCCCATGAAACACTTGCCTCATTTAAATTGATAATCATGTTCCCAGGAGCTCCAGGGAGTACATAATTGCATTAAAACAAGGTGCATATTCCTTGCGCACCTTAAGGTGAAAATGCAATTTTTGTGCTGCCACTACAGTACTAAAACTTCACAAAAATTAGGCAACAGCAGCAACAGAGAAACAGGCTGCAGAAGAGGGTGGTGGGCTGCATGCTACCCAGAAACCTTTTTTACTCTTTAGAAAGTAAAAACTGGTTTATTTTGGCTGGCCTCTGAGTGATAGGCTGCATCCTGTGATTTTGTTTTAGTGCTGACTTGTTTGGCATTTAATCATGGTGCCTAATCTCTATTTTCCTTGTATTTTCATGTTATACTTTGCTTTTATTGTGTATTAAAATGTTATAAGCTGCTCTGGGGGATTATTTATTATTTATCTGATTTATGTGCTGCCTGATTAGCCATGGCTCTCTGGGCAGCTTAGGTACAATCAAACACAATAAAATCAACAATACAATAAAAATAATATCAATACAATTATTATTAATAAGAATAAATTAAATATATAAGATAAATAGCTAAATGATCAATTAATAAACTGACTTGACAGTCAATGACTGAAATGTAATATAGAAATAAATCTTGCCTGCAGTTCTTAGAGCTCATTCAGAAGGCCTATATTAGCTCAGAATGAATACGAGGAATAAATATTTTAAAGTACTCCAGCTTCAGAATCTTCCTTTATGTGTAAAATTACTATGTTATGTACAGAATTGACATATCTACATATAGTTACATATAGTCCTGTAACTGCTAGGGATGTATAGGTTTTGTCTATTCCGTCCTGTCTAGAGAGTCAGTGTGGTGTAGTGGTTAAGCATGCAGAACTGGGATTTAGAAAATCTGGGTTCTAGTCCACACTCAGCCTTGAAGTGCACTGGGTGACTTTGGGTCAGTCAGACTCTCAGCCCAACCTACCTCACAGGTTGTGAGGATAATACTGAGAGGAAGAAGAGAATAATGTAAGCCACCTTGAGTTCCTTGAAAGGAAAAAGGTGAGATATAAATATAATAAATAAAAACAAATCTGTGGTTCATGGATTGTAAGGCATCTTTTGTTCCATTCTCTGCTCTTTGATAAGTTTGGCTATTTTAATCAGAATTCTGTTCTACTTGCCCTAATCTACAGAAGCACTAATGTGTACTTGCTCAAGTCCTCAAATGTGCATTAACTAATATGCACTCATAAAAGTGCACATAAGTGCTAATATGATTACCACAATCCATTCCCAAAATGAAAAATGGTCTGCAAGTCTCTAGAATCTACCTGACTTGGAAAAAGCCAGTCTTCCATAGAATCCATGGGTCAAAGTCATAGAAATCTGAATGAAATTGAATCCATTGTGGGGAGTTTTGACATCTGCTTTCTATCAGCTCCATCCTTCCTCTGATGCTCGCTTCCATTTCAAGGGCAAACGTGTCATTGGAGAGGATGGTTCCGAAGGCTACAGTGACCTATTCCAAGAAAACACCATGCTGCAAAAGGAAAACACCACTTTGCGTATGCGGGTGAAGGCCATGCAAGAGGCTATTGATGCAATCAACATCCGGGTTACTCACTTGATGAGCCAGGAAGCCAACCTGATTCTTGCCAAGGCAGGTGAGATTGTGAGGGCACCTGTTTCAGGTTTGCAGTCCATTTCAGTAGTCAATACACTCAGCCATGGATAATGTTTAGGTGGCACAGTTTAGCAATAGTGCCTCTGTATATCAGACCTCAAGGATAGTTAATTAAGAGCCAAACCACATGCGCTATTAAGTTTAAATACTTGTGCTTAAGCTAGGTGCTTTTCTTTTGGAGTGAAAACTGTTGGAAGTCCCAGCCAGACATATTCTTTGCTGCGTAATGTACTTGTTTTTTTATGATTCTTGCCCATAGCATTTTACCAAGCTCAAAAACAATGAAGTTTCTCTGATTTCCTTATTTCCGTATTCTTACATATTCTTTCTCTTAACTTATTGCTTTGTTTTTCATACTTGCTCTTTGCTTCATGATTCTGTTCTCCCAGGTGATGGCAATGAAGCTATTGGTGCTTTGATCCAGAACTACATCAGAGAAATTGAAGAACTCAGGTATGTGGGAGCAGTTTTGGTTTTAATAATTCAAGTAGTTCTCAGCCAATTAGCTTTACCACTGCAGCTTTCTGTTTTATGTCTACTGTAATCTTTAGATTATTAGCATAATTCCAGGATCAAAAACTTCAGTTTTAAAGGTTAAGGCACTAACCAATCAAGTCATACACTCAAAGGACTAGAAATTGCAATGCATCATTTATACCATGAAAGCACTAAATACTGTCCCAGGCCTAACATATTGAGCTCATTTACAATTTAAGCTCCTTGATCTTTGAGGTTGACTCCTTTGATGTGCCTGTGTTATGGACAAATTGCTATTGTGGCTTAATGAGTCATTAGGAACTGCATCTTGCAGTACTAGCACAAGCCCTCCTGCCACCAGAAGTGAGAGATCAGGTGCTCTGTCACATCATGACCCTGCCAATCCCCTCCTTAATGCATCGCACCTCTCCACCTTCTCCCCCTTGGTGCCACATTACACGCCCACTCTTTCATGAGTCATGAAGGATAATTCCTTCACTTGCTGTATCTTTTTTGTCCTGTTTTCACCAGCCTGTTATGAAGACTTAAATTGTGTTAGGAGTTCTACACAATGCAGCCCAGGCTTTGTTTTCCATAACCCTGAGCAATGGAGGACACAATCCTATTCAAGTTTAGACAGAAAAAAATTGTAGAACTTCCAGCATTCCCCAGCCAGCCATGGGAATTCCCCGTAGCTGGGGAATGATGGGAGATGTGCATATTTAGACAAAACAGTTCTATAACACTGCTCCTTAAGTAGGAAAAAGCTCTCATCCAAATAGACATTTTGGGTGGCTTGAAAACAAGCTGCCTCCCAGCATTCTGTGGTGGTTTAATTAAGACCACAAACTTTCTTGTCTTTCTGTGGTATTCCATAGAGACAGCAGAGGAGCAATACTCCTGAACATGAGACTGGGAGCAAGAGTAGTGTTTCCTTCTCTCTCCCAGTATCCTGTCTCTTCTTCAACACTTCCTGCCCTAACACTTCCTGACCCAGAGATTGCTCACATCCAATTGTGTATAAAAATCTGTTCCAAATTTCACAGCATGATAGTGGAATATTTTGCTTTGGAATTTCACAGGCCAAGAAAATAATGTTAAATCCTTGATTTTCTGATGCTCTGACTAATGATTTTTCAGATTTTAAAACAGAAACATTTGCAATTTGATGTGCAGATATTTTGTGGCTTTTGTAGCTATATAGATACCTTTTACGAGTCAATCCATTCATTTATTAAGCCTATTACTGTTGTCTTCAATTGATGGTGACACTTTAATATCTTGGGCAGAAATCTTTCCCTGCAACTGACCTTTATATTGACGATTCCAGGGATTGAATGGTGAACCTCCATTATGCAAAGTATGTGTTCTACCCCAGAGCTTTGGCCACTCCCTTAACTATAGATAATCCTGGGCCTATTTCTACCCTATGCTTTCCTGTTGTCTTGTTGATAGAAATGTGTGCTGCTAAGAGTTAAGGAGTGAGGAACTTACCTTATGGTAGTGTGTTATTTGGAATCTCTGCCTACAGTTCTACTTTAGGAAATGATAGCATTGGATGGACTGCTTTATGTATTTGAGACAAGCAGATAAATGTCATTATGCAATGTGAAATCTATGTCTAGATATCCTCGCCTCAGTATTTCATGACACTTTGAAGTAACTGCTGTCTTCATCTTTTTTGTAGGACAAAACTTCTGGAGAGTGAAGCCATGAATGAGTCTCTGCGTCGCAGCCTGTCACGGGTTTCTTCCCGGCTTCCTTATTCCCTGGGCTTGTCCCCAGGGCCTGGGTTGGGAACTTCTAATAGCCCTACCATCTCTGTGGATGAAGAAACCTCTGAAATCCTGCAGTGGGCCAAGCAAGATGTCGAACGACTAAAGAAAGAGACTAAACTGCGAAGGAAAAGGTAAAGCATGTTCCTCTGTCTGGCATCTGCTCAGGAATTTCCCACCATCATCCTCAATCTCTGTTGAACTCCTGTAATGGTGCACTCATGAGCTAGAACAGTGGTGTTGAACTCTTTCTGTCTGAGGGCTGAATTCTATTTAAGAGAAGCTCTTGGGGCCTCATTCCAGTGTGGGTGGGGCTGAAGGCAACAGGAGTGGGGCTAAAAATTCTGATCCCCCAGGATACAGTTCCTGAGCTGTAGGATGGGACTTTCAGCCTTTAGAAGGGAAACTGCACAAATGCCAGGAAACTACCCAATGATCAGTGGTTGGGGAGTGCAAAGGGTCAGAGCCAGGGGAAGAGGATGACCATTTGGGGTGTTCCAGGTGAGTTCCTTTTGGCCAAAGAGCTTGAGGTTCTGGACCCTGCTCTGATGTCATGCGCTGTAACTTCAGACTGAGCTTTCATTACCCCTTTAATATAGTCAGTGGTGTAGCAAAGGAAGAAGACAGATCTAAGCAGCTGTGGGGTTTTTTTCTTTTTGAATGAAGAACCAGAGTCCCAGATTAATGTCGGGTTTGCCTTGCTCTGGCAAGTTAATGAGGTGGTAATGGTGCTTTTAAGTTTTACTGTTGCTTGTGTTAATCATCTAGAAAGCCAAGAGAATGTGGAAAATAACCAAGGAGCCAGATACCTCATTTTTTTTCTGTGATGCAGTTTCTTCTTCACTCCTGCAGTTTAAATGATATTTCTTTACAATATAATTTGGTGTTTAGAATGTGAAGGAACACTGCACCTGGTTGAAGGTCTTTTATTAAAGCTGAATGTGTTTTTTACAAGCTTAACCTAGGTAGCTGGAAATAAGCCCCACTGAGATCAGTGGACCTTACTCCCAGGTAGCTGTGCACTGAGTTGCAGTCACGCTGATCTTAGTGAGTGTTACAGTATGTGCCGCTTCTCTCGGTTGAATGTGTATGTGTATATTCACGTGGACATCATCGTAATGAGCTGCGACACATCAGAATTTACTACGGCTGCATTGCATGTAATGCAAGGGTAGCAAATACATGCTGGAAGTTGTAGGCCTTTTTTCTGTATAACAGCCTTCCCCAACCTTGTGCCTTCCAGGCACATTTGGACTGCGATACTCAGAATTTCTAGTCAATGGCCCTCTGGATGGGAATTCTGGGAGTTGTGGTCCAAATGCCTCTGAAGGCCACCAGGTTGGGGAAGGCTGCTGTACACAATGTGCAGGATTGACTCCTTAGAAGAAGCAAAAAGAGAAATGTTGTTTGGGTTGAAATCTGGCCACTGGATGTTTCCCACTACTGATGCCAATAAAAGAATGTTCCATTTGCTCGTTTTAAGGCTAGTGGTATTTAGTTTATTGGCTGCCCCAGCAGTCCATTTTTAAAATGTTTTTGTGGCCAAAATTTGAAATAAAATTAATGATTTAAAAAAAAATGCTCACATCATATCACATCCTTTCTGCAGCCCAGAAAAAGAAGGGTTTAAGAAGAGGTTGAAGCTACAGCAGGGAAATGAGGCAGATGAGGCGGATGAGAATGAAGCGGAAGAGGTAAGATCTCTTGCCTTTTCCTTGCATATAACTTCTGTGCTTTTGCAGGGGTCTGTTGCAGGCCTGCAGTACTTCCCAAGATGTCTGTAATGCATTCTGTTGGACCCTTTCTTCCAACTGTTTCCTGACCTTTGTATTTTCCCCGCACCCCATTTGTAAACAGTTGAAAATCCTCTCGTGAGGCTTAATTACAAGTAGAAGAGCATTAAGCTGAAATAGGTTGGTATTTTCAACCTGAACTTTTTGCCATAAGCCCTGCCCACTTGGAATTCAGCCTCCCAAAAGCGTCTTCAAAATTGAATTTGAAGAGGTTCAACACCCCTGGTTTGTTAAGTATGCCACAGTTTCCAATGGATTGTTTGGCATCAGGATTATGACAGTAGTGGCAGTGTTTTAGTATGGTAAGAAATTGAAGTCTAGCATGGCATATAAGGGCATTTTCAAGCGTTCTTCCCTTCAAGGAACTTTAGGGTGTAACCCCAGCATGTCCCAAGGAGTTCTCCAATGTTGGAAGACTCCTATGTTTTTCCAGTAGACACTCAGCAGAGCAGAATGAGCAACGGAGGTGATCTTCCCCAGTCCATCCTTGCTTTTATTTGTTTTCTAATGAGAAATGCTTTTGAGCACATCCAGTAGAGCCATAGGGAAGGAGCATGTATTTGCATCCTCTCTCTAGAAGGGAGTTCCAAACTCAGTTTTCTATGGTTGCTCTGAGGGATGCTGGGAAACAACTTAGTTTGTCTCCTCTGAGTTTATTGGAGTATCTGAAATACCTTGTATTCCCTGGGTTGCTTTTTCCAGATACTTTATAATTCCTTCCTTCTCTTTCAAAATTCACCTGGCTTTAGAATTTGTCAGCTAATTCTAGAGCTCCTCAGATGGAGGGTGTCATCCAGTGTGGATGCTTGTAACTCTCCAAACTCAGAGGATTACAGGTGTTCAGGGAAAGGATTATCTTACTCCAAAATATTTAGACGGCTGCTTGTGGCCGCCTAAATGTTTTTGCCTGCCTAAATGTTTTTTCCCTCCTTATGAGGAGGAGAGGCTGAGGCACCACCAGGATTCCTTAGTGGTACCTTATTGCTTCTTCTTCCACCTCCCTGAGTGCCTTCCCCGCACTAGCTCCAAAGGCAGCCTTCCATCTGCAGAACCCAGCCAGCATGGAAAGGAACGTGTCAGCTGTGAGGGGCCCTCTGCAGAGTTCCCACTGCAGCTTTGGAAGGCATTTCCAAGGTTGGAGTGGAACTCTGACCTCTAGCCCACTGGATAAAGTCAGGTTTGCTTACTGAAACATCTCTTGCCTTTATCTCTTAGAATTACATGCTTCCTTTTAATCTAAGATTGATTAGGATAATTGGAGCAGAAAAAGGTTCACAAAAGGCCGATATGATCTAGATTTTATTTTTCTGTCTTAAAGCATGGATGTCTCTGTAGAGTGCCCTGAAGTTATTAAATAAAAGGCTGGCATTATGCAAACATTCTTTACTGAAATTAAGGGATTAAAATCAACAAGTTCATATCCATGAGATTTGTATATTTATTTCAGAATTTGCTTTTGACTGATGGAGAAAATCAATGCTTCATTAAAGAAGAAATGAGCAATGTGTGATTCCTAGTCAATTTGCAGGACTTCTTTTATCAGCATGGCTTCAGATGTTTCTGCAGAGTCATTATTTCTACACTGATACTGGAACTAGCAGTGGGGGCTGTTATATAAGCTGAAATGTTGGGAATATGGTGACAGAAACTGTGCTGGAAAGTCAGATGAAGTTTGCCGTCATTTGCTCACAGTTGTATAAATATCTGGATTTCCTTTTTTAAGCGGTTGTGAGTTACCTGGCTTGGATAAAAGCACTGCTCACTAGCAGGAATTGGATGCTAATGTAGTCAAGTCAGCAATAGGTGCTCGGTATTAATGTTAAGGTAGGGCAGCTCACATCCAGAATACTACTTTGGGGTGGCTTACGCTTTGTCTTACTTGTTCATTACTTCCTATTGCCCTTGAGATAAGGTATTGTTTAGCTGTGATGAAAACTGGGCTATCTTCCAAGGAGGGTCCATAAAAAGATGTGCATGGAAATAATAGGAACTATGGTTCAGGAGCAAAGTAGCAAGCATGTCAAGCTTTTGGAATATAATCAGATACTGTTACAGATATTACGCTTTTGTCTGCAAGTTTTGTTGATGCTTTTACTGCTTAGCTGCTGTTCTTATTTTTAATACTGATTTTAGATACTTGAAAAGATTTTATATTTGTTTGTGATAATGTTTTAGCTAGCTTAAGTTCTTAGATTTATAAGGCAGGATAAAAACAGAAAGTTGAATAGAATGTGAGTTGGGTTAGCTCTCTGGCCCAATAAATGAGGGATTTTTTAAAGTGCAAAAAAGAGCAATTACTCCCCAATTCTGAACCAGTGTCACCCTCTTTTGTAAGACAGCGATCCTGTGGTTCCATGAGAATGTTTCAAGAACCGTGGTGTTTCTTCGGAGCCCCCTCCCAGAACCAGTGGACACTGCTATAACCTTCGAAGGGGGATTCTGAAATCTAACCCCTCTGTCTACCCCTTCCCTTCCTTCTTGAAGTTTCAGAGGAAACAACTGTGCTGGTTGCCTTCTGAGATCTCAGAGGAGAAGCCTGAATGGAAGCGTCCTGGTTGGTGGGGAGGGAAAAGAAGGGAGACCAGGGACAATGTAATTTTTTATTATTATTTTCTACAAACTAAAAAAAAAAGAAACTAAAAAACATCAATCATCAGAAACATCAGACCTGCTGGGTAAGCCCCCCCCCCCCCGACTTTTTTTATAGCAATCCATAAATATATTCAAATCTACGCATAGTCCCGTTTCTCTAACCAATAATAAAAAGAGTTCCAAGTCTGATAGAAGTATGCATCCTCTTTCTCCTTCAGAGACAAAGTCAGTCTGTCCATTTCAGCACAATCCAGAATCTTAAAATCAGTTCATCAGTGGGTGGTTCTTTACTCCTCCACTGTTGGACAAATGCAATCCTTGCCACAGTAATTACATGTAAAATCAAATACATAGCTTGTTTATCGACATCATCAGGTACAATGCCTAGTAAAAAGACTTCAGGTTTAAATATTAAAGATTTTTGTAACATTTCCTCAAGCCATTTATGAATTTTAGACCAATAATTCTTTGCCTTATCACAAGTCCACCACATAGTTCTCTGCAGTCTCTTCAGTCCCATCTTACCCCTGAGATCATGACTATTCTAATGACTACTCTAGATGGGCTCAAAGGCCTGTCTGGGGACTGGAGAGGGTGGGGGAGAAGAGGAGGCTAAAATCATCCCTGTTGCTACTCTCAGCCTTTTGTGTGTCTAACAACCTGTTCGTCCATCTGTCCATTCCATCTGTCTATTTCTCTGTTCTTCTTCCAGTAAGGAAGAAGAAGGCTTCTGTCTAATGGGGCTGCAATCCATAGGATTGTGCCCTAAACCTTTTAAAATACTTTGCTTGGGAGGCAGATAAGTCCTCCAGTAAAGTACTGACATGTATATCTGGCTGGATGAAAATGGGTGGTGGGGGGAATATGAGAGTTGTCTTCCCTCAGCCAAGCTATGCTGCTTTCATCATATACTGTATGGTACATGTCACTGAAAAGAGACTTGTAGCAACACCAAACAAGGTTAAGCATATAGCTGGGGCATGCATATACTAATTATTGAAAGCTTCCTTGTTATGAAGTGGGATAGCAACTCTCAGGTCCATACTGCAAACAGCAGTCAGAAGACAAAGGGTTGAAATTAGCAGAATGTATTGCCAAGGAAAAGGCACATCCTGACTGATAGGAGCTGTCAGCTGTTCCCCTGATACTTTTCAACATTGTGCATGATTTCTGCACCTTCCATTTTGGTGCTGAATTACTGACCAGAGTAGATTTGCTAAGATCTGGATTCTTAAGCCCTATCCAGGCAGTCCGTTTCTGGTTTTAGTTGACACACGAGAAGGAGTGCTTTCCTCCTTGCACACAGGGGCCGCCTTCAACTTGTGGAGGGCAACTGTCCCAAGAGGAGACCCTCAGGCATCTCTGGGTGCTCTCCACACAAACCAGAACATTGGAAAGCCAGCTTCTGGCTCACGTGAAGAGCCTCCATAGCTATAGGAGGCACAAAAGAAAATGTTTTTCAGCCAGCCTTCCAGATGGGTGACCATGCCAGTTAGGGTTGGTGGACTAACATCTGGGCACACCAGTTTGGGGAAGGCTGCCCTAAGTCATTCACCAAGCCAAGTATGATCAGTTCCAGCTATTGCCATACAACCCAACTAGTGAACCAAAGAAGATAAGGGCAGGTCATGAAATATTAGCAGGAACTGTGATGATTTAGACCAATGCTGCCCTCATCACTTCTTCTCTTTCCCATCACTGTGCCTGTCTTTGTAAGGAGGAACGGGATGAGAGTGGCTGTGAGGAAGAAGGTGGCCAGGAAGAGGAAGAGGAGGAAGATTCAGGAAGTGAAGAAAGCCTGGTAGATTCTGACTCAGATGTTGAAGAAAAAGGTAAACTCATACAACAAACATTAGAGTGGGTGACCCTATTTTTTGGGTGCATGTAGGACAGTGCAGGGTATTGAAGTTTCTGTAGGGATCTAGGGAAGTAAAGAATTCTGTAGGGAAGTAAAGAATTCACAGGTTTTAGGATGTATATGAAGTCAGGTCCTTTCATCAGTAGGAGCTGGGAATGCTGAATGATCAGCTCTCTTTATTATTCATCTGTAATTTCTAGCTCCCTTTCTGCAAAAATAAACTTGTACACACAACAAGCTTTCCAGTTCTGTAAGAGAGATTGCTAATTTCAGTCCTGGAAGGAGGCTATAATGAGTTTAGAACCCACTACACTCAGGATTGTGAAGTGTGTGTTTTCTTTCTTTTTCCCCTTTAATTTATTTAGCAGCAAATTTCCAGGCTGACCTTGCTGACCTGACCTGTGAGATTGAGATCAAGCAGAAGCTAATTGATGAGCTGGAGAACAGCCAACGGCGTCTACAGACCCTGAAGCATCAGTATGAGGAGAAGCTCATTCTGCTGCAGAACAAGATCCGTGACACCCAGCTAGAAAGGGACAGGGTCCTGCAGAATCTCAGTAAGAACATGATGCTTGAGCAACTGCTGAACTACTACAAAGCATGTGTTGGTCTGATACTTGTACTTGGATTCCAAGCCAAGATTATATTTGGGTGTGAAGAGATAGATGAAGAAACCTCAGAGTTTGGGGGCTATGTGCCTTCTACCTGAACAGAATGTCAGAATAGTCAAATATTAATTGGTCAAATAAATGATCAGCTGGCAGACCAGTTTCAGGAGCTTTAGCAGTTGTATGTGTTATGCATGAGGCCCAATTCACTTTAAGGGTAACTAGTCTTCCTTCCCTAAATACCATTAACTCCCTTGTGGCTGAGATATGAACTATATGTTCAGACAAAACACACTATACAGTCTTTCCAGGACTGTACCATTTCAGAATGCCTGTTAAGGACTGCATTGGGAAATGCTTTCTCCATGTTTTCTGATTATGTTGGGGATAAGACTACCCTAAAACTCTTTGCACAGGCGTACTAGTAACTGCTTTGATATCCAGTGTGAGGAAGATTCAGTCCACACTTTTCTAGCTTACATTCTGAAGTGGTACAGTCTCATGAAGATTGTACCACATACCTCCTGAACTATGATCCTGATCTTAGCCATTCAGTCATACACTTGCAGGAGCATATGGGATTTCCACTTACGTCAGAGAAGTGCCAGAAATTTATTATATAACCATTCAATGGTGAAATGAGGCAGTAAACTCATATTTAATGAAATTTCAAATATTTTAAAATAAGGCTGCAATTAGCTCTGTTACATGTGTGGTAATTTTCTTACTTGCCTATTTTGCATCTGAAACTGGTCTTGCAACATCAGTGATGCCAGCACAATGTGGTTTGCCTGTGCTCAGAGACATTGTTTTCTTTCATAATTTCCTCTTTCTTTTAAGGTTCCATGGAATGCTACACAGAAGAGAAAGCCAACAAGATTAAAGCAGATTATGAGAAACGTCTAAGGGAGATGAACAGGGACCTACAAAAGTTGCAGGCAGCCCAGAAGGAACATGCTCGTCTCCTCAAAAACCAGTCTCGATATGAGCGAGAGTTGAAGAAACTGCATGCAGAAGTAGCAGAGATGAAGAAAGCCAAGGTATTTTAGGAACACAGGAAGCTACCATGATCCATTTAACTGACTACTGTTGACACTGACTGGCAGCCGCTTTCCAGGGTGTCAAGCTAGATTTTTTGCTAGCTTTATCTGGAGATGCCAGGGATTGAACCTGGGATCTTTGCAAAACATGCTGTGCCACTGAGTTACAACACCTTCTAAAGTTGACTTGAGAGCTCATGACTGTCTGAATAAATACAAGTAGAATAAAATTCAGTAGGTAAAAATGCCAAGTAGTATACCTAGGAAAAAGGAACCAAATGTTACAATCATTTACAAGATGGGAGACACTTGGCTCAGTATTACTACAAGTGAGAAGGATCTCGGAATTGTTGAAAATCACAAGTTGAATAAAAAAACAACAATGTGACGTGGCTGCAAAAAATCCAAATGTTATATTGGGCTTCATTAATAGAAGTATGGCTTCCAAATCACATAGGGTACTGGTTCCCCATTCAGTGTTAGTTAGGCCTCATCTTGAGTATTGCATCCAGTTCTGGGCATCACACTTCAAAAAAGAGGCAGACTAACTGGAAAAGGTTCAAAGGAGGGCAACAGAGTCAATCAGGGGACTAGAAACAAAGCCCTGTGAGGAGAGATTGAAAGAACTGGATTTATTTATCCTTAAGAGTTAGGGGAGGTATGATAGCACTTTTTCAATACTTGAAAGCCTGTCACATGGAAGAGGGCCAGGATCTCTTCTCAGTCATCCCAGAGTACAGGTCACAGGATAATGGGCTTAAGTTACAGGAAGCCAGATTCCAGCTAGATATCAGGAAAAATTTCCTGACTGTTAGAGCAGTATGCCAATGGAACCAATTACCTGGGTTCTCCTATACTAGAGGCATTCAAGAGGCAGTTGGACAGCCATCTGTCAGGGATGCTTTAACCTGAAGTCTTGAACTGAGCAGGGGGTTGAAATGAATGACTTCTTAGACCCCTTACAACTCTGCTATTCTGTGGTTCTTGGGTGCCTCTCACCTGGACTGCATTGGCCTCAGTCTAAAGGCAGAGTTAGAGAGCATCTTATTGAACAATGTAACATGCAGAAATATGGTCCTTATTTCAGGGTCCTGGAAGAAGAACCTTGTCCTCTTTTATTCTGACAACAGGAGAAGACAGGATTGCTTATTTTTGAAGACTGGTTAAATCAAAAGCAAATAACTTGACTGTGGCTATTTTGTGAACTTCATAACATAAGCAGGAATTTGAGCTTGGGTCTTTCCCCATCCAAACCCAGTGCCCTGTCTGCTCTGCCACACATGTTAAATTGAACGAGATTAGGCCTCACAGTTAGACATACACAGAGACTTCGTAGCCATCAGAGCAGGCCCACCTTGTCACTTGTGCCTGTTACTGAGTCTGCTTGTGCCGTTTCACCTGAAGGTGGCACTGATGAAACAAATGCGTGAAGAACAGCAGAGGCGGAGACTGGCAGAGACCAAGAGGAACCGGGAGATCGCCCAGCTAAAGAAGGAGCAGCGTAGGCAGGAGGTGAGCAAGAGCATTTCCAGCTTTGGGAGGACTTTTCCTGGTAGATCTCACCAAAAGGCATGGATTATTAGAGAAAGTGAAAGGAAGCGGAGAATTCCAACCAAATCATGTAAATAGAAACTCTGGATTTTTGCCTACCTGACTAGAGGGGACAAGCTCACACCGACTTGCTATGCCTCCAGGACTGACATCTCCCCTGTCTTTGTCCTGTAGCATTGGTGTGGCCAGGTAGACATGAGAAGGTCTCCCTAGATGTATACAGCTCTGCACATGTTGGGGTTTCCACATGAGCTCCCAGTCAATTGAACTTCTCCTTGCACGGATACAACTGTATGCACATAGAGGCTCTCTTCATGCATTCGGCTGATTGTGTGAATTTGGAGGCGTGCCACAGGGTCCATGAATACTGGAGAGTCATAACTAGCCAGTGTTGTCATGATCCTCTTGCTATACATTCAGTGAATGTATGAGAGCGCATGTCTTTTTTTGTAAAGATTGTGTCTGTCTTTGCCCATCCATGCTGTCTTTTCTTCCATCGTTCCTGCAGTTTCAGATTCGAGCACTAGAATCTCAAAAGCGACAGCAGGAGATTGTACTGCGCAGGAAAACCCAAGAGGTGAGTGGCAGTCTTACTGCCCATGATAGGTGACTTCTGGAATTTTGCATGATATTCAGACAAGCATGTTCAAAGCTACTGGAATTTTTACCCAATCCTGCTGAGATTTCTAGTTTCTTGAAAAAGATATTCTCCTTTAAGCTGGAAAACTATCTTGACACAGTTTTGCTAAGACCTCGCCCTTGTGTTTCAGGGGTCTATTTTTGCAACGGGTAAAAAAAGGCTAGCATTGCAGCTGGCACTGTTTTTATTTTCAATTTATTTTGATTTTTATATACCGTCCCATTCCCATTCTGGGCAGTTAACAAGAGATTCAAACCAACAGTAGCTAAGAATTTCAACTAAAAATAAGCATATTAAATGAAACTAATCTGGGGATTAATCTGGGAAAGCCTGTCAGAAGAGATACATCCTTGACTTCCTCCTAAAGGTAGCATTCTGGGATATCTGATGTCTTTCTTTCAGCAGGCCATATGACATGGTTCCACTTAGACGTTTCTGATTGCTCGGTGAATTTTTGTTGCTCTCTAGGTCTCTGCTCTGCGCCGTCTGACCAAACCCATGTCTGACCGGGTTGCTGGGAGGATGAATCAGAAGCAAGCCATGGTAGACTCAGGTGCTGAGGTCTCCACCAGCACCACTTCCTCAGAGCCAGAATCTGGTTCTCGTTCTGTCTCTAGCATTGTACGACAGTGGAATCGGAAAATCAACACCTTTCTGGGAGACTCTCCTTCTTCTACTAATGGGGCTCGAACCATCAGGTCAGGCACTGGACCAAGTTAGCAGTTTGGTTATACTGCAGGCTAACCCAGGAAGGGTGCCTAAAAGCCTCTTACGTAGATGTCTTCTGGGACACTGGCTTCTCTCTGTGTTCCTTTGCTTGGGAGCATTCAGAGTGCACCCCCTTTCCACCCCATAACACATGGAATGTTCAAGATGGCACGACCCCGAATATCTAGCCTTATCTCCTTTCTAGGGTGGGATGGGCGTCGCATGGCCTGCGGTCCATACATGGTCCTCTCTGCTTTCCCCCATTTGCTCCTGTTGCTCCTCACCACCAGAGTTTTTTCTCCAGTTTGCAGTGTGTGTGTGTGTGGGGGGGCGGCAATGTTTGTGGCCTGTTGCAGTTCCAGGTAGGGGGATTGGCCCCTGGACCACCCAAAGTTGCCCATCCCTGCTTTAGGGCAATGGCAAGATCATGCTGTTCGGTGCTTACTGCATAACTTCCCTGGGCAGGAAGAAATTCCCAAAGAAAGGGACAAACCAATCCTTCAGCAAGACAGCCCGCCTGAAGTGGCAGTCATTGGAACGCCGTGTCTTTGACATTGTCATGCAGAGGATGACTGTCATTAATTTGGAATCAGACATGGAGCGGCTCATCAAGGTAGGTGGCTGCCTCCCACTGGAGCAGAAGATGCTGGGGCAACTGCGGGTGTTGCAGAACATCGGCTAAAAAGAACATTCCTGCCTCCTATGCTCCTTTTCAGAAACGTGAGGAACTGTCACTGATGCAGGAGACGCTGCTAGGGAAAAGGGAGAAGCTGCAGACGGAGAACCCTGAAGAACTGAAAGGCCTGCAGGAGCTGAATGAAGAGATTGAAGTGCTGGCAGCCAACATTGACTACATCAATGACAGCATCTCTGACTGCCAGGCCACCATCATGCAAATCGAAGAGACCAAGGTGTGCTCCATCTGTGCATGAAGCAAGTGGTTTGGGAGAGGGGCATACTGTGGGCTGTGAATGTGGGCCTGGAGGCCAGCTGGCTGGTTAGCTGGCTAGCTGGTCTCCCTTGGCTTAGAGGTGATAAATGAATAAGGGGAATCTAAGCCAGTTTTCTCCAGCCTGGTGCCTTCCAGATTTCTGCAGTTCCTGAAATTAGGAGAACTGTGATTCAATACCTCAGGAAGGCACCTGGTTGGAGAAGGCTATTCTAAGCTTTTTGATCATAATGAATTAAAATTCTTGTCTCATTTCCCCAAACCACTTTAGCTTTTACTGGGCAACTTCACCCTGTTTGAACAAAGGGCATATGTAAAGCAGGAACTTGGACCAAAACCTGTGAAGTTGTTAGAGTCTTAGAATTCTGCCCTTTCCTCTGGGGATCTTGTGGGACTGTCCATGGCATCCATGTCAAAGTATCAGTACCCTAAGTGAATTTGCCGATCTGTAAACATCTACAAGAAAAGGGCTGTGGCATGTACAATCTGGGTTTAGAGGGTGAAGAGCCTGACTATTACTTCTACACACAAATGTACTGAGATCTTGGTTAGCAAGCTACCATGAAGAGCCCAGGGAGTCGGTCAAGCCATTATCTTGGGTTAGCAAAATGCAACTTTTCTCCAACTATTCCATTCTACCGCTTCTTCCCCATGGGTTGCTTCTTCTTGCTAGGAAGAACTGGATTCTACTGACACCTCTGTGGTGATTAGCTCCTGCTCCTTGGCGGAAGCACGGCTGTTGCTGGACAATTTCCTTAAGGCATCCATAGACAAGGTAGGTCAAAGCAGAGCCCCCTGTATATATCAGAGATCTGACAGCAACATTTATAACAATTCAATAGCATGTTTGGTGTTGCTGACACGTCCAAAATAGGCCAATCAGGTTTCCAAAAAAATTGAATTCTTCATTTCTAATGGAGTATATTTTGAAGGGTTGTAAACATCTGTATTTGGACCAACTCTCTTTCTAAACTCTGTGCTCTGTCCCACAACATGCTTTTCTAAGAAATGAAAAACCCTGAGACTAGGCTAAAACTGGGTTAGATGGTGTGACGATAGCATTCTTTTCTTGCCTCAAAATCCATGGATGAAGTGCAGAGCCCCATTGGCAGGAATAATAATACACTCCTCAGGGAAAGTGCTCATGCATGGCTAAAGCACAGATCTGGCAGGAAGGGCTGCCTTCAGAGTCCCCCACCCTCCCTCTTCATATTTTCCAAGTGCTAAAAATCTTTCTCTGAAAGGCTTGTTCCTAATTCTCCAATCTCTGTGACTAGAGCCTGCAGGTAGCCCAGAAGGAAGCTCAGATCCGTCTACTGGAAGGACGTCTGAGACAAACAGATATGACCGGCTCCTCCCAAAACCATCACATCCTGGATGCCCTACGGGAGAAGGCAGAATCCCACCCTGAGCTCCAGGCACTCATCCACAATGTGCAGCAAGGTGGGAATTTGAAGTCCCATTTCCTCGTCAAATGAAATCAAATATCCTTAGCAATATTCTCATATAGTGATTGTTTGTTCTCCTGTCAGCTGTGAGTTGCTGGCTTCTTGTGAGGTGGGAAAACCACCATATGTACAGAAACAGCAAACAGCCAAGCTACCATGTGATGACTGCAAGTGCTGCATGGTTAACTTTGTCATCTGAACCTACTCCAGTTTTGTCAGTTTCAGCCAGCAAGGCTGGTTTTAAATGGCTGTACCCTGTGTTCATTCTTGGAGAACTGTTCTTCTGAAACTGGAAGCTTTCTCTGCTAGGGGTATTAAAAATAGGAGCAACTCATGTGTGTGTGTGTGTGTGTGTGTGTTGAAGATAATTGTGGCCACATTTGAACTGATAAGGACACTGATAGAAAAACAGTGAATTACAGACTCTGCAGGGAGAATGCCATGGTCTGTGCTAAATGCATGTGATCTAGATGTTTGTTTGTTTTTTCCTTTTGTACAGAGAATGGTTATGCGAGCACAGATGAAGAAGTCTCTGAATTCAGCTTGGCTTCAGAAGGGAGGTGAGTGCTTTCAGCAAAGTGACAGCAAGTGCATATTGCCAATTTTCTCCTCTGTCCCACAGTGACCTTTAAAAGATGGATGAAGTGGCAATTCTGCCTGTTTCTCAAGGGTGTCCCCATGAAACACATGTAAGCATCAAGGAATCCCTGAATGGGAAATATTTATCATACCACTTTCTGCCTCCTTGACAGAAATTTTTCAGGTTGTCCAGAGAAGTTATCATCTTCCACTGTAATTCTCCTGTATTACTGTCTCCATCTTTTTATTTACTGTGAACATCAAGGAGGAAGAGAAAAGGGCAGAATAGCTTTCTCATTCAGTGCCAGGCCCTTATGCCCAGAAGCACCCCCGAATAAAGACTCAGGATCTTCTGGAGGGGAGGGGAAGGGGTGGTCTGTTAGGGGGATCAGTTGGACTCTGTGCTTTTACAAAAAAAAACAGCATGTAACCAAAGCAATTTTTGTGTCCTACAGCTTTTCCCAGTCTTTCTCCATGAAGGGCTCTGCTAGTCAGGATGACTTCAAGTTCAGGGTAAGTTTGAAAGTTGCAAATGTGTTTTAGGCATTTTGTTTGATTTTTAAATATATTTCTATTCTGCCCTTCGGCAAAAATTCCCAGGGCAACTTATTTGAAAAGAAAGATGGGGAGAGCCACCATGTGGCAAAATTTTCACAAACAGCCAGGTTACTGCCAGGATAGAGGATTTTTAGAGCTGCTTGAGCCTCAGGAGTGTATTTAAACTGTCATTCTGACAGCATCCTGCTGTGGATTTTCCCTGTTGTTCCTGTGCAGTTAAGCTTTCTTATGACAGTGTCCCTTGAGGTCAGATTTACAGTTAGCCATATTTGAAGCAGCTCAGAACCTTGTGTAATATAAATCTGATTGTCAGGGGAGTTGTTTTCACATGAAAGGACAATAGCAGACGAGATTTCCACTATGTGGTGCCATGCTGCACGTATTCCTCTCTTGTCATTTGTATGCCTCTATCCTTTCATTTTGTGGCTCAGACCCAAAGTATTTTCAGCCACTTGAACATTACTCCCCTTTTGATTCTCATCCCCTTTGGATCGCCAGTGCAGAGCCCAAACGGTATGTTTTCATTCGGCCTTCTACTCTAATCCCCACTTGAGCTCGGATTAAAATCTCTGTACTTCATTTTGCCAAAGAGCAAGTGTTGTAGTATATACAGAGGTGGATGCCTGAACTTTGGTTTTGCTCTAGTTATTTGGCAGTGAGCTGAAAACAAGACCCTGACTGGTGTGTCTGTCTCAGCCATCACTAAAACAAATAAGCCTTTGTTAAGAGAAAACTTTGCTTTTTCTCAGGGCAGACACTCATGTAAGGGACCATGATAGTATGAGTGGCACAACCACTGTATTGGCGCACCTCTGCATGACACAGCAGTTGTCTCTCAAGGATATAAGGTGCTTTTTGGTATGGTCCATTTTAATTCAGAAGCAAGTGGCAGGGTCTTGCTAGGCTTTTTATTGCATAGTTCAAAGAGTCTATGAGAGAAAACTGACTGAGAAATGCTAGTGTCTTGCTTCTAGCTTTTCCTAGACTGGATTTTCAGAGAATAGTTCCCATGTTGCCGTGCTACTTTATATCTCCTGGGGCTTTGCTTTAGGGAGAGCCCAAGCTGTCTGGCCAGATGAAAGCTGTGTCTGCAGAGTGCCTGGGACCCACCTTGGACATCTCTACTAAGAACATCACCAAGTCATTGGCATCCCTCATGGAGATCAAAGAGGATGGGGTTGGCTTTTCCATCCGTGATCCTTACTACAAAGAGAAGGTCTCCCGCACCATCAGTCTGCCCATCCGGGGGAGCACATTGTAAGAATTAGTAGTATAGGCATTGGCTTGTGTATAGACAGTAGTTACTCTGAAAATATCCCCACCCTACATGTTTTCTCACAGGACTCATTCAGTTGGCAGCTTACAAGGAGTCATTAGGAATGGGGAAGAATTTGGTTCAGTCCACATATTTCAGTGAAGTGACCTAGATTGCACTTCCTGGACAATTATGCAGATTAGAACTCGGTTATCCTTTGAATTGTGTACATTGCTATTCTATGATACTATTCTCAGCTCAGAAATTGCATACAGAAATGCATATCTTAGAGGAAATTGCATACAAAAACACATTTCTACATTTAAGAAAATTCAAAGGATGGCCTGATAATTGAATAGAATGGGCTTATAACTGAATACATGCAAAATTGACACAAGTTGGAAATAGGCAGATTTGTCCATCCTTAGGTATTCATCCCAGACTTAGCTCAAACCTGAAAAGCACAACAGCTAACTATGGCTGTCTCTCCTCTAGCCCTAGACAGTCCCGTGGTGCAGACACTTCACCTCTCACAAGGAGGAAGTCGTACGACCGGGGCCAACCTATCAGGTGAGTGTGCAAGGGAGGCTATCTCTGTGTGTGTGTGTGTGTGTGAGAGAGAGAGAGAGAGAGAGAGGTGTAAGAAGGAAAATTAGCAAGTTTTTACTGTTTACTTATGAGCCTGGAGATGAGAACTTTGGGAGAGAATGAGCCTTTAATCTCTGTATGCCATTACTTTCTCTCTCTCTCCCTCTCTCTCTCCCTCTCTCTCTCTCTCTCTCTCTCTCTCTCTCTTTCTTTCTTTCTTTCTTTCTTTCTTTCTTTCTTTCCTAGGAACCCAGATGTTGGATTCACTCCTCCCTCATCCCCTCCCAGCAGGCCGCGCAATGACCGCAATGTCTTCTCTCGCCTCACCAGCAACCAGAGCCAGGGTTCAGCACTAGACAAGTAAGGTTAATTGTGTGGCATTGAGAAGCTCATATCCTCAAGTTAAATGGGAAAACTGGCAGCTGTAGCTCCTGGTACTAGGAAGACCTTGTCCTTGCAGCCCATGCGACACATAATCTGGAACTGTGCTTTCCCACTTGCACTAGAGTTCTGTCATCAAAACATGCAGGTGCAACAGCCTGTAATATGTGGGGAGCCTGAATGACACTGCCAGGTGAAAGTCTCTGAACCAAAGTTGTCCAGACTCAGGGCTAGGCACCGTTGTCAGAACCTACAACTAGGAAGCACCTGAATCTCCCTATTATTGCACAGTCACCCCATCTCCCCGGTGATCTTCACTGCTCCATCTCACCATTGTGGTTCTGCCCTCTTTCTAGTGCATTCAGAAAGCAGATAGTGTTGGTGAGTTTGGACTCTGTTTCTAACCCTGTCTGCAGCCTATCAGAATCATCCACCCTGGTGCCACTTCATAACAGCTCTGTTATCACTGTCTTTTGGGAGAGGGTGAGATGGCCGGATCTGCCTTTCTGAAAACAATGGTGAATTAGTTGCTCAGGTTTTTCAGTTGGTTCCACTGGATTACTCCATTAAACAGGTTCAGAATAGGGTCATGTGCATCCTGTCTTCCAAGGAATGTGTCTGCTTTTGAATCTGTGAGTGCCCTTTTTCTGGAGCATGTTGTAACTTCCACAGGGTCTCCTGAATGACAGCTGTGGCATCATTGACAAAGCCTCAGTTTAAGAGAAAGGGATTTCTTCAGCATAGGCCACCTTGGGCCTCAGGGAACAAGCAGAACATTCAATTTTCAGATTTTTTTTTAAAGCCCTGCATGGGACTTAGCCATGAGTCGCTATTTCATACATATTTTCTCATAGAGTGACCTCTGTGACCAGAATGTCCCTATCCATCTCTGGAGTTGGTGTGGTAGTCACATCAGAACCCACCTCCCATTGCTGCCCGAGAATCCTGGGTAGGTTTTCACATTCTCTTATTTTGCTGGAAAAACCACACACAGACAATGATTCAGCAGCTTGCAAATTTCTACTTTTTCTCCTCTTGGAAAAGCAAGTTTCTAACCCTGATGGCTGCAATGATAAGCTTGCAAGGATGAGGGGCAACACCTAGTAAAATCTCAGATGGTATCTGGTCATGCCCTCTCTGCTCCTAAGCCCTTTCTATCTGTAGTCTGCTCTCCTCTTGTGTGCCCTGCTAGCCCGAATGCAATAACAACCTCCCCTTTTCTGACTTTTTGCTGCTGCTTTTCCTTCTCCTGGTTTTAATTACCCGTAATCCTGCTAATTTTCTGTCCCTAGGTCTGATGACAGTGACTCCTCTGTCTCGGAGGTGCTAAGGTATAAAACTTAATATTTATTATATAACTCTTCTATCCTTTCTCTTTCTCACTTCTCCCTCCCTGCATTTAATGCCTGCATGCAGCCAAGCCCAGTGTGATGTTTCTTGCCTTGTTCTGCTTCTTCTTTCTGAGTGCTACATTTGCCTTTCCAGCAGACTATAGAATAACTGGTCAGGCCCACATCAGATGTTGCCTGGAGTAACACACAACTTTTCTTTTTGTAGTTGCTCTCACTTTTCTCCCAGTAAAGCCAGCAACTTTGGCTCATAAATTTAGGGAACGTGACATGGTTACTTGCCAAGCCACCAATAAACACACAACTCTGAAATCTTCAGCCTGTTTCCTTAGGACTTAAAAGTTGACAAGCTGTGTTTGGACTGACCTGGCAATTTATCTCCAGATAATGCATGTCTGTAGTAGTAACCAAAGTTAGGAGCTAACTAATTGCATGCAAAGTCAGTTGTGCCATTTGTCTAGCTTTTGAATGGTGACACTGTTTAGATTCTGAGTAGCTTCTAGTCCTTGAAATGATGGGGAAAAGACTGAAAAATGTGCAGACAGCTCCTCTTCAAGGTTCAGAGCTCTTAACTGACAGCTTCTCCATGAGTTGCAGCTCACTGCCCCCTCCCCATTTCTTCCACCTCCTCTCAGTCCTGTTCACAGGAAGTCTGTTCATCCCAGTATTTTTATCTATTGCTTCGGCCTAAAGGTCCAGCCCCATTTCTAAAAAAGCATTTTTAAATTTTGTTACGGAAGCTAAATATATATGTACTTTTCTAAGCTGCATAATGAATTCCAGTCTCATAATATTTGGGACACTCTGAATGCAAAACAACAACAACAACAAAACCCTCCACGAATTATTCTAGTTGTCACCCAACTGGCATTGCTGAAGCCAAGAAAAAGCAACCGCCACAACCCACAACACTCCACCTCCAAAACAAGCAGAAGCCCACCCTCATGACACAATCTCCTAGCTCTCACATCTTGGGCACATCTATTGAACCCCCAGTGGGCATATGTCCAAAGGTTACCAACACCTGGTGTAGGAAGTACCAGCTTTCTGGGTGCCAACACTTGGTGTAGAAAGCTGGAGAATGTGTGATGTTGGTGTTGCAAGAGGCTGGTGGACCTTAGGAACATTAATCTGAGTCTGTGCTACAGGTTTTTGGTGTAGCAAAACTCCTCATTGCTAGCGATGATGGCAGTGATGAAATACCTGCTTCCTCGTGTCCTAGGGGACTTTTTTGCTCCGAAAAAGAAAAAAATGCTACACGCTAGCTGTTGCTCTTTCCCACTGCAATGAGCCTTGCAAGGCCTCTTGGCAATGTGTGGTGCCTGGCAAAGCCATACTGAAACAGTTAAAGGACTTGTAACATTTGTATTTTAGTTTGATCTGCTTATTTATTATTTGTGTGAATTATTTCTGGGGAGGGGTTTGGTGAAACTTTGTGACATTGCTGCTTTATAGAACACTGGCAGCCACTTTTGTTTTTAAGGCAGCATATAAATAAATATTTTTTGCCCCTGACAGTGAGAAGCTGCGATCTGCTCCTTGAGGAAATTGTATTCCAGTGCTATGACCTGGAAGTGAAGGGGAAGCATTGAGTTTGACAGTTTTTCTTTGGAAAGCTTGAAATTTCATCAGAGCCTTTGGCTAGTTTATCTTCTATAATGTCCTACAGCACAGTTAACATAATATATTGTCTTGGCTAGAACTTAGGATACAAGCATAGGAACCAGAACTGTTGCCTCTGCTTTCCAGATATTACTCTGCTTAGGGAGTCCTCAGACTAATTTAATGCAGAATATAAATGGATAACTGATGGTATGACAACGAATCACTCATGAGGACATGGTGCTGCGTTCTGTTCCCCCTACCCATATCCCTTTGCTGCTGGCTGCTAGGGACAGAAGCACTGTAGCAGTAGACCCCATTCCTACGGTGGGACTGGAGTCTCTTCTGGCTTTAGCCCCACTGCTCTGCTTTCACACTCCTCTTGCCATCCTGCTTCCTGTAAAAAGAGGAGACTGGAATGCTGCAGCAGAAGGGTCCCACTTTTCCACTTCTTCCTCCTCTCCTTGCAAGGGCTCCAGTTTGCCTGAATTAGTTCCAGTGAATGGGTTACAAGACAAGGAAAGCAAATTCTCCAACTCACCCTATGTGACCCTTAGCCAAGGGGTTTTGTTTTGTTTTGTTTTTTTAATTCTCTCTTCTTCAGTTGGCCCAGGTATTCAAGCAGAAAAGGCATTTCTCCTGCTGAGAATTAAAGCATTTCCATTCTGGCTACAGGGTGGTGCAATTTATACACACACACATACACACACACACTCATTTATATGCCACCTACTACCAAAGTCTCAAGACAGGTTTCAGGCACAACTCAAGTGGAGGTGTTCTTGAGTTGGGGCTCTAGATGGCCAAGACCATTTTAATATCATTTCCCTTGAGATAGGCCTATTGAAACCGGGACAGCTGTGTGGTGGGGTGGTTAAGAGTGCTGGACTGCGACTCGGGTGTGGGTTCAAGTCTTCACTCAGCCGTGAAACCACTGGCTGACTTTAGGCCAGTCTCTGTCTCTCCATGTAACCTACCTCACAGGGTTGTTGCTGTGAGGACAAAATGGAGAGGAGACCTTTGCAAGCCGCCTTCAGTTCCTTGCAAAAGTAAGGAAGCTGGAATATAAATGCAATGGGATGAGGCTGGACCAGATGAGACTCTCCTATTATTGGAACAAGTAGAGGTTTAAAATAATTGTGATCTTTGAAACCCGCATGACTGTTAAGAGCAAAAACAAAATAGAAAAGAAAAATAGAATAAAATAGGAGCTCAGTGCCTCTGGACGTGCTGCTGCCAGAACAAAGTGATATTAGTCCAGCTGCACTCTGCCCATGTCCAAAGGAAACTTGAGCCTCAGATTTGTACTAACCTTCAGAAGCAAAGTAGCAAATTAAAGAACAATGACTGGAAGCGCAGTGGTAGGGCATGTCCCAGGATTAATCCCTTGCATCTCTCAGTAGGGCTGGGAAAGATTCCCACCTGAAATCCTGCAGAGTTGCTCCCAGTCACTGTTGAGACCAAAGGCAGGCAACTGTGGCAGGTCCCACAGGCCAGTTTTTCCTTGTGTATCCCTAGCAGGCCACACTCCATGGGGTACCATCTAGTCTGGGATGTGCCATGAAAAACTAATTAAGCAAACTTGGGGATTTGCCACTGAAACTCAGCACTGTAGCATTAAAAATGCCATTTTTTTCATTTAATTCTGTTGTCTTTTAATCGCAGCAATTGGCAAATTTGGCAAAACCACAGGGGCTGTGTGTTGCTGACCCCTAGATTAGAGTAAACTTGACTCACTATTAAGTGGTTTCTGGTATTCTAATGTGAAGCTAGGAGAAATTCTGTGTGTGAACTTCCGTTGTACATGGGAAGAGAATGTATTATCACCACACAGAGCACTAGAAACACCAGTGTTAAACCAGTGTAGAGCATATCTCATATCTTCCTTAATACTGCAGGAGATTTTGTCCAGATCCAAGCTTGACACTGCATGTTTGTGCCTGCTTGTATTTTTCTAGAAGCTTGAGGTTTGGCTCTTCTAGCAGGCCATGTCTCCTGAGTCCTGTGTGAAGCCGGTGATGCATGATTGGGATGTTAGCTTGCTTCAGCTTCAGGAAGCCTCTCTCTCTCTCAATAATCCTCTTTCTTCCTCATGCAAGGGGCATCATTAACCCTGTGGGAGGTTCCAGGAGTGCCCGAACAGCCCCACTGCAGTGCATTGCTGTAGCAGAAGGACATACCAAACCAGTCCTGTGCCTGGATGCTACTGATGAATTGTTGTTCTCCGGATCCAAAGGTGTGTGTTTGCGTGCGTGAAAGGGCAGAGGTTGTTTCTGATGGCTTAGAAATGACTAACATTGGACCAGAAATTTTGCTTGGAGATTATTCTTTGTTATGTCTTTTTGGCACCTATATTTTCAAGGACCCTTTAGATATAGCACATCTACATCATTTCATAAATTAGGAAATCACCATGCATATGTGCAAACACACGCATGCACAAACACACCAAGGAGGACAGCCCGGTGCTGTATTTATGGTAAAGGTACTGAGCAACAACCTGTAATGAGCATCTATTAAAAAAGAAAAATATGCACCTGCTGGAAAATTCAGATTTAAAGTTTCATTGAAAACTGGCTGCTTTCCCATCTTATACATTGCATTAGGCACACTTAAATATTCATTGTCAAGCATTTTTTACACTTCTATACCACCCAATAACCAATGCTTTCTGGGCGATACTTGAAAATACAACATGGTAAAATACAGTATAAAACCTTTAATGTACAAAGTTTTAAAACAGTTTTCGAAAGTAAAGAACAATTAAACAATGACATACTGGGACCCAATAAAGAACTGTTGCATACCATCAGATGCCTGGGAATTGAGGAAAACTTTAATCTGTTGCAGAAATGTAGATACCACTTGGATCCCAGTGTTGGTGCCAGGTGGATGTCACTAGGAAGAATGTTCCGCAGTTATTGGAGAAGCATCAAGAAGACCTTCTCCCTAGTCGTCATACTCCAGCAATGCTAGACGACATCTCTCTATTTTAAATCCTGCTTTTCCACCAAAATTGGCACTGAAGGCAGATGCATCTTAATATCACTGATGAAATATGTTGTTACTCTGCTGAGGATGGTAGTTTATACTCTTGGGTAAAAAGTGAGACCTTTTCTGAAACAACTACATTTTTCTCTTCTTTCCCAAGATCGGAGTTGTAAGATGTGGAACTTGGTGACTGGCCAAGAAATTGCATCTTTGAAAGGGCATCCAAACAATGTAGTCTCCATAAAGTACAGCAGCCACTCTGGTCTGGTCTTCACAGTTTCTACCTCTTACATCAAAGTTTGGGACATCCGGGATTCTGCCAAATGTATCCGCACTCTCACGTAAGTAGTTGAAAACTCTCTGTATCATGTTTGAGGAGTTTGCTAACCTTCAGTGTTGCTGTGTAGTTGTTTCCAGACTGGATTTAGGAGCATCCTTGTCCATAATTTTTTTTTATTTATTTGATGTATATTCCGCTTTTCCTTAAGAACTCGGGTTGGATTACATCAGTCTCTCCCTCCTGCTTTCAATCTTATTCCCACAATAGCAACCCTGTAGACTGAGAGTCTTCTATCTTGTCAATTTCTGTTTCTGTTCCATTTTTCCAGTCTTAAACTTGTTCTATCCTGTTCCTGCATTGGTTTACAATTTCCTTCAATTTCCTGTATAGAATGTGTATTAATTTTTATATGCAAGTTTGCCTAATATACTCAAGCTAGTATGCAGTCTGCACACCCATTTACAGCCCAAAGGCCCTTCTGAATGAAGTGTAGAAACCAATGAAGAAGTGGACCTAGTCTTCTTTGGGAGAGAGTTCCACAAACTGGAGTGGCTAGCAAAAAGGCCCTCTCTCATATCACCCTCAAACACAATTCTGAGGGATGTTATCCCAAAAGAAGGCTCTGCCAGAACATCTTAAGGACCAGACAGGCTCAGATGGGAGAAGGTGGTCTTTTAAGTCACCTGCTACAAAGTTGTTATAAATTAATATATTATTTTCATGAATATGTGCAGTTTGGTGCACACATTTTATTGGAAAACCACACCACAAAATTCAGGTAAGTACAAGTACCAAATACTGTTTTCAGTTGTAGTCTGTAGCCTGTAAAATGCTTTGAGGAAGTTAAAATAAAGTATGCAGACTGAACCATTTCTTTCCCCTCTCTATCTTGAGACAAATACTGTTTTGAGTTGTAGTCTGTAAAATGCTTTGAGGAAGTTAAAATAAAGTATGCAGACTGAACCATTTCTTCCCCCTCTCTATCTTGAGTAGTGAACCACGTGGTCCCACAATCCCCTTTATAGCTAATATTCGGATAGCATTCAAGTATGGGATGGATTGATTGCATAAAGGAAGCCACGACCTTGAGTTTGTCATTGCTGAGCAGGGCAGTAAAGGACAGGACATTTTGGAGGGATTCATTTGTAGGGTCACCCTAAGTCAGAGACAACTTGGCAGCACATAACAAGCAACGAAGTTATGAATCTTGTTGCAGCTCCACAAAGCCCTTTGTTTTAAGCAGGTCAGGACTAGACACACTCCATAGTGTGCAGCTTCTTAGCTAGGCAGCTCCATCTCCGGATTCCTACCAAATTGCACTTATTCCTTGTATTCAGCGTGTACAAGCCAAATTAGGCATATGTTTATCACAAAATTAGGCTTGGCTTTTTTACACAAATGGTACATATCTGGTGCAGGCAAGTCTCAGCTGCATCAGGATTATGGCACAGGGTTAGGGGGAAGTAGTTAACTTTCTGCCCCCACCACAGTCCTGACTGGGACATCATCCACCCATGCTGCATCTGCTCTTTGCAGTAGCAGGAAACCCCAGTTCTGATGTTGACTGCAGTAGGAGAAAAAGGGTTATCTCCCATTCACACACACAACCCATGTCATAGAAATGTTCTTCAATTTGTACCCCAGAGCAAATCATGTGGCAAAGGTTCAGTTTGGCCATAGGTAAGCTTTTCTTTCTGTTTGTGAAAACTAAAAGGAAAGGTTTTGTGAATTTCGTCATACATTGTCAGGATCCTCAGCCAGGATGGGGCAGCCAGAGAGCAACAGAGGCCCCAGGACCAGGGTAACAGAACTTCAGGCAAGTCAGAGTCCAAAGGCAGGTTTAATAGAAAGTCCGAATGATAGCCATGGTACAGGCTGAGACCAGGAACTAGAAGAATGCATGAGGGCAGAGCAAGGACATGACCAGGAACAACCCAGGGGTTGAGAACCAAGAGGACAAACAGAGGTGCAGGTGCCTTGGACAGGATAACAGTGCAGGGGACACGGCACAGCAGGATACACAGTATGGCAAGATACATGAGAGAACAGGAACCAGATGCAGCAAGGCTCAGGCAAGACACAGGGGCTGGAGCAGAGCTCATAAGGAGCCCTCCGTTGCTGAGGCTACATGGTGAGGCAGCACACACACACAAGGCAAGATGGAAAGGCAGGAGCAGGACCAGTCTGGCTAGAGGCAGGCACGGCAGCAAACAGGCCAAGCTGTGTTGCTGAGGGAACATGGCAAGGCAGGAAACACAGCAAGATTCAGGATACACAGCAGGAACTGGAGCGGGAAAGGTCAGGCAAGGCACTGCAGCTACAGGAAGACCTTTGTTGCTGAGGCCAGTTCTGGAGGGAAGAGCTTGCTCTAGCTCATACCCCAGGACGCCGAGCTGGTGCTCATCAATAGAATGAGAGCTCCACCAGGGCTTGGGACTGATCCTGCAAATGCAGTGGTGGTTCTGGTTCTGGCCACCAGAGCAGCCCAGATCCTGACTTATGAGAGCCCACTGGTTAGTCCCTACCCACATTATTTATTACATCCATACTGCAGAGGAATGGAGAAGGAAACAAGCAGGCTCAAGCCAGGAGTTACCTTTTTTTTTTTGTATCCAGCAGCTAGTACTGCTGCAGAGTAGGCATGCAGGTAAGGAATAATTCCTCTGTGGACCTTTGTGTTTCAAAACCTGCTGTTGCCTCTGACCTCCATGTGTTTCCATTGTGTAAGTGGACAAATATTCCCAGCTCTGTTTTCAAAGTAGCATGTGCTCGGGTAGCCTCCTTAAAAAAAGCAGATCTGCAATCCCTCTCTTGTCATCCTGTTGAACTCCGTTTACGGCAGTCTTGCCTGCACTGCCTTTCATCCATATTTCAGTTTCCGTCTTTTTCTCTCCCCCAGCTCATCAGGCCAGGTGATTTCTGGGGATGCCTGTGCTGGGACCACTACCCGTACCATCACCAGTGTGCAAGGCGAGCACCAGATCAACCAGATTGCTCTTAACCCCACGGGCACCACACTTTATGCAGCCACTGGCAATTCTGTCCGCATCTGGGAGCTGAACAGGTCAGACGGCAAACCTGCCAGATTTGTCTGGGGCAGTCTTCCCCAACCTGACACCCTCTGGAGGTGCTGGCATATAATGCCCAAGATTCCCCGCCCTGACAACAGGACCTGTAGTCCAACACCTCCAAAGGGTGCCACATTTGATCTGTGGCACCTGGGAGCTTCTCACAGGAAGGTCATAAAGGGTGGGAAGGAATAAAAGATCACCAAGAGAATCCTTCCTGTCAGCTACTTTTATTAGCAGGAGGATGGAAGGATTGATTTGGACAGCCCAAGCTGTTTTCGGATGTGCAACAATTGTTATACCTCTGCTACCAAACTGAAACGTTCTGAAACACCCTCAAAATTCAACTCCTTTTTGTTTGGTATCCTTTAAATTTGGGGCATTGCTTGTGTGGAGGAGGGAAGCACTGAGTCTTGCATTAAAAACTTGTACTCCAGCTAGCTTCTCACTGTTTTTTTCCTCCTTTTTTGCCTAGATTGCAGCCCATTGGGAAGTTGACAGGCCATATTGGACCTGTGATGTGTCTCACAGTGAACAGGACTGCAAGTAACCATGACCTTGTTGTCACAGGATCAAAAGATCACTATGTCAAGGTATTGGAGATAAGTTACGTTTTTTCCTGAGAATACTCAGAATGCTCTCCACTGCTTTCTTTTCAACAGCCCATCCCCTTGTCTCTCCATTGAGGCAGTATGTTGCTCCTGTATTTATCATTAGAAAAAGGTCAACATGACATTTCTACAACCTCAGCAGTCATAGTTTTTGGTGCAACAAGGAATAATGTTCTTTGCTTCTGCCCTGGCATCCTTTAACCAATCTACAGAAGAGAAGATCTATCACAGCAGAATGTTGTAGCATCTCTGAGGCCAATCCAGGACTGATCAAAATCTGAAGTGTTTCAGCATTTCACTTTCATGCAGCTCTCTCCAATCTGGCATTTTCCAAATATGTTGAACTACAGTTATCATCATCCCCAACCAGCAGCATTAGCATGATGGAATCTGTAATCCAGCATATCAAGAGGGCACCAAATTGGCTAAGGCTGCATTAGAGTGTTTCTAGTATAGGATTAATGAAATAAGCAAATGTGGCTTGTCATGGTCCATCCCTTATTCTAACTTTCCACTTCATCAATGTAGAGGATTGGAGATGCACTTAAAGGCAGTGGCCAGTGAGAATAATTGGTCAGCTATTTAATCCCTTCTGAGTCCAACCACTACCATTTCTTTATGCTCATTAGAGGAGAAGTCGATTAGAGAGCAAAGTGGAAGACATCAAATAACCAAGATTTTCTCAATATTCATTTTTATTGTGCAAAAAAATCAAACTGCACCATAGAAAAGAGAAAAGAATAAAACATTTCAATTTTCAAATAAAAATTTAAAAAATCCATTTAGCTACACCCCCCCCATATATTAATAAATAATAGAACATAGTGCTGGTAGTAAATGATTATCCATATTCTTTAATGAAAGCAGGAGACCAATGCAATCTGCTTGGGAAGTGGATTCAGTAATGAAGATTCCAAAACTGGCCAGGGAGAGGAATCTAATCTAAGTGGAGAAGACCCAAATCTAATGCAAGTCAAACATGGTGCAAAGAAAGGTCAGGCCAACCAAATATACCTTCTTTCATCAAAAGTCACATCCATTTCAAGGATATTTTTGGTAGGATAGAATTCCATAAAAATTTGCCAGAACAATAGGGTAAGAATATTAAGATTATGGAAGTACTTGCCAAATAAAAGAATACCACAAAAAACACAGTTTGAGGTATTAGATTGATATTAAGTCTATTTACCTCATCCACAACATTATAGGTGTCCATCTGTCAATGACCCATGACATCTCATTAATTATTTAATGTCCCAAACATAATCATTTGTGATATGTCTCTTGGGACAAGTATTCCCAGGTAAAACTTAGCAAAACTTCATAAACTTAGCATGAAGTCTAAATTGCCAGTTCAATGATACATGATAGGGTGTATTATTCCTAATAGACACAAGTTCTGACTTAATAAAATAAGCAAAATAATACCCCAAATCATTAATTATCTGCATCAAAGCTGAAACAGGTGAATGAAGTTCCAAAATTAACAAGAGAATATCATAAACATAGAGAATAAGTTTCTGTCGTAAGTTGTACATTATGTACAAATCCATGAATATTAGGATTTTGTCAGATAGCACATGTCAGGGATTCCAAACATAAATTGAATACCAATATATATATGGGGCAAGAGGACATCCTTTCATGGTAAAGGATCCTTAAGTCTAAAGATACTTTAAGTTTCATCCTTAAGTTTAAAAAAATCCTCAAACAGGACTCCATTGGTTCTCACTGTGCTTTTAGGAATTTCATATAAATTTTTATTCCATTTCTGAAATTTTGCAGGAAAACCAAAATTTTTCAATGTGCAAAGATGAATTTCAAATAGGGTTTATGAAAGACCTTCTCCACATTCACAGAGGTAATGGCAGCTGTGTCTGTCCAATCATTATATAATAAAATCAAATCCTCAACCCTAATATCAGCCTAGCCAGTTGGAAATCCATCTGGACCAGGTGCTTTCTTCATTTTCACTATGTTAGCACTTTCACCAATTTGCACAGGTACCATTAAAAACACGCTTTGCAGAATATCCATCCAGGAACATTTGATCTGGGGGATCAGTTTTTTTCACGGGCTCTACTATAGAATTTTGGATAAATGTAAAAAATTGCCACTATTGTCTTTAATTGCCAAGATAGTGTTTCGATATTTTTGCCATCTCAGCTGATTTACCAATATTTTACTGGGCTATACACTATTCTTGCAATATGTCTGTCTTCAACAAGCTAGTACAACTTCTACTAGCTGTGAAAAAATTCTCTCCAATTCATATTCAGTATGCTGCACCTCTTGATAAAGCTATGCATTTGGAGAGGGAATAACTTGACTTAGAAGAGACACCTTGTTGCTCCGCTTACCATTACATCTTTTCATGCAAGGAATAAGCATAAAAGTCCACCTCAGATGAAAGCTTTACTAGCCTCAGATTCAGTAGTGCAACCTCGTTGATTTCCAATACTCTTGTTGCTCAGCAAGAATCGGATTTTGTAAAAGATGCACCATTTAACATTAAGGTGTCAATGCCCAGCCTTGGCCTATTTGCAAGTAGTAAATCCAAACAAACTGAGACATGGTGTGATATTACCAACATTTCAAACTTCAAATCTCTGATTTGACATAACAAGGATGTGGAAATGAAAACACAGTTTTTCTGAGTTTCCAGCTCTGATTAGATATTTATCTGGTGAAAGCTGGGTAATCCATGATTTTATCATTATCGGAACTTCACTCAAGCTCCTCCCACTGCCTGGTTGCACGGAAGAGGTGTGCTTTAGTTGATACACACAGAAACATGACAATAACCAGTCTCACTGTCTCCACATAGAACCAGGAATATGGTAAGCTTATTCAATATCAAGATGAAAACTTTGTTGAAGTTCCAAAACTAGACACAGGACCAATCCACATGGTCTATCAGCCTAACCCCTGTGGGCTGCTCACACAAGTCAAATTGGACCTCTGAAACGAGGCTTCCAGAAGTGAAACACAAGTGGAGACAGTGCTGGAGAAGTGGACGTTGCAAACTCATGTGCAATAACTCTTTATCTTCCAAGTTTGTGACTATTGTTTCTATCTTCTTAAGGTGACTATCAAAAGAATCTACAGATCCTTGCAGTATCTTAATTAAATCTTGGAGCTGTTCTATCTTTTGGACAGCTTAGATATCTCCAATAACATATTCTTCAGCAAAGTAACAACTTAATCTCCTTCCTCCTCTGCCCCTGTCTTAGAAATTTTGGCAGGAGGTGACTGAAGTGTAGTTTGTGGAAGTCCAACACTTTCCTTGGATTTAGAAACTGCCATGGTTAATCACTCCCTAAATTCTCTCACACACCTTCTCACAGGCTTTGAGCAATTACAGAAATAAATGAATATGTAGCACTACATACAGTGTAGTGGAAAATAAAGCAAAAACAAACATATAGATTAGTAGGTTATAAAAAGCACTTGATAGTATTGTAAAGCCACATATTAAGAGACAGCAAGTAACAGTAGACAACTTATGTTGCTGTCTTAGCTGGAAGTTGAGTTAACATAGATTGTAGCAGTCTTACCGGAGTGAACGGGCCTGTTAAAACCTACATTGTCTTTCCTGCACAGCTTTCTCCAAAAGATCTTAAGTCAAACCCAGTTCCTGCTGATCTGTATCTTCTCTCCAAAAGTTTTGTTCTATGGAATATACCTTCCTTTATAGGAGCAGGGGAGAGTTATAGGCCCCCTTTCTCTTGTGGCATTCTTGCTTCTCTGGTGGGAACACTAGACCCTAAGCTCAGGAGTTACTAAATTGGACCTGAGCAGTAAACTTGGAGTGGCCATTTTATTGAGAGTTTCTGTTTTGCAGATGTTTGAGATAGCAGAAGGTGTTGGTGGTAATGTTGGCCCCACTCACAACTTCGAACCTCCGCATTACGATGGCATTGAGTGCCTAGCTATCCAGGGAGATGTTCTCTTCAGTGGCTCCAGGGACAATGGGGTCAAGAAGTGGGACTTGGAGCAGCAGGAGCTCATCCAGGTATGGAAGAAGAGAAGGAGTTGTATTTGGCAAAGACCAAGAGAGGGGTGGTTTACCATTTGCACAAAAGAGGCGATGCTGGAGCTGTCAACATACAGTTGCTACATACAGTCTTCTTGTTCAGCAGCTGGGTAAAATAGCCTCATGCTGGCATCCCAGAATGAGGACCAACCCCACAAAGAGAATATTTCAGATGATAAAATTCATACAATGGGCTGACATTCAGATTGTACATGCAAGCTGCCTTTAGCACATGTGACTTTTAGAAATGTCTGATCATCCTTCATTGTATTGATCTTAGCAAACCTGTTGGGTAAAGCAGTGATGCACTGTTCCAGAGGGTGGACATTTTCTTGGAGTGCTGATAGTTGCTTTTATCATAAAAAGATTTCCTTCACTTAGCACCTGTGTTGTTTGTTTTCCAGGCATACATACATAGAATGGTATTGGAAATCCTGCGGTTTCCACACCACCACAATGTGCTAGCACATTTCTTATACACAGTAGTGTAACAGCCAACTGTTCATGGTTAGTGACAAGCATAAATGGCCCAGTGGGGAATGCCTGTGCCTTTTAACTATTTTTGACTCATGTTTAAGTGCACAATCTTACATATGCTTAAACATGCATAGGACTGTGCTCTAAACGTATTTTAGATGTCAAGCATACACCTACAGAATCACTGACCTTACAGACCACAGAGTGTGGGTCCCATAATGGGCAAGACTTGTGCGAAGGACAGACCAACAGTAATCTCCAGCTGAAACCATTACTCCAATTGTTGAAGACATCACATAGGAAATAAAGGAAAGATATTGTCCTGGCTTGGTTAGTTGGATCAGAGCCATCAGTATCTGTTGATGAGAGAGGCACCCCCTGCATCCCTGCCTTGTACCAGCTCCCTCACCATTATACATTCATCTGTGATTCCCAAGTGCGTGGCAGATCCTTTTGCACAGCCATTTCCCTGCCCTGAACATAGATTCCATTCTGGGTGGTGGTGTTTGTATATTATTTGAACTGTTTTTGTACCACCTCAAGACAAAAAGCCTCTTTATGGCAGTTTACAAGGTATTGCCTTAGAACGGCGAATGGTATAAGCTTTATTCAGGCTCCTCAGCAGTGGGGTAAACTCGTAGTTGGTTGCCCTCTTGTAAAGACATAATTAAAGAATTAATTATGTTTTCTTGTTAAGGGAAAATAGATGGCATTTCTGCATGGCTCCTTCCGAGTGGTAGTTGTGAGAGTTCCCTCCTCCCTCTAGGAGCACCCCCAGACTAGTGTGTCAAGCAATATGACCCAGCTGCTACTGTGCCATAAACCTCAGTGTACTTACTTGTAGTGCCAGTGTAAGGTGTTCCAGGTCATGTTTAGCAATGTTTAATCCATTCCACTGTGCTTGGCTTCCCCCCCTTCCCCTGGAAGCCTTTGTTGATGGAATGTCTTGGGTGTGACAAGAAGGAAACAGACCCTCATTAATGCAATTTGTTGTATTCCTGTTTCCCAGCAAATCCCAAATGCACACAAGGACTGGGTTTGTGCTTTAGCCTTTGTGCCCAGCCGGCCCATGCTGCTGAGCGCCTGCCGTGGTGGGACAGTGAAGGTCTGGAATGTCGACAATTTCACACCCGTTGGAGAGATCAAGGGGCACGACAGTCCCATCAATGCCATCTGTACCAATTCCAAGCATATATTCACAGCTTCCAGGTGTGTGTGTGTGGAATGGGCTCTTCTCTGCCCCAAGAGAGCTCTTGAATGCCTTTCCTGCTTTGATCCCATTATATCTGGTTTAACTCAGCCTTCCTCAACCTGCTGTCCTCCATGTGGATTAGATGGCAGCTCCCAGGATGGTGAACCAGCAGGCATCAGGTTGAGAAAGTCTAAATTAAGCTGCTCTAGATAGCAGGGTTTTGTTAGAGGCAAGTTGGTTGTAGACCCACCAGCCTGATTGAAGGAAGAGTCATGAAGAACCATTGTGGCAGCCCTGTTCACTGAGCCCTCCTTACAGTGCAGCAGTGTCTGCTCAGCCCTGCAGGCTCTGCCGCAGCCACTGAATTGTGTTCCTGATTTCTGTGATGGTTCTTTTGTTTGCAGTTTCCATGTATGTCTCCACTGACATTCTGCTCTGCACAGCCTGTTTGTACAAAGAATCCTAAGAGGGCATCTCTCATTGCCCACTCCAAATGAGTGCCCGTCATTGCCCACTCCAAAGGAGTGCCTTGCAGTAACTAGGGAGCAGTACTAGAAAAACAGGGGCCCCCTCCCTGACTGAGGCAGAATAATGTAGCTTATTCCAGTAATCAGCACATGAGAGCCGAGCTCCAGGAAGATTTAGTGACCTGCCATTGTCATGCAGGAATCCTGCCAGAGCTGGAACTGGAGGACCAGCAGGCAGCACAGGCTTGGCAAGAGGGCATCGCCTGGGAGGGCAACCCAGTCCAGATCACTCACTTTCTTCTCTTTATGGAGTCTCAGGTCTTTTCTTTTCCGACCATGTTTCTTTTTTTCCTTTTCTGTCTTCCTCTTTCGCTTTCTCTCTCTCTTTCTCTGTGCCGCAGTGACTGCCGGGTAAAGTTATGGAATTACGTGCCTGGGCTCACCCCCTGCCTTCCACGACGCGTCCTTGCCATCAAGGGCCGTGCTACCAGTCTGCCTTGACCCTCCTCCTGTCTTCTCTACTCTCCTGCTTACATTTTCTTGCTGTGTTCTCCCTCCCCATCCCTTTTCTCTTCCCTCCCACTCTCTCTGCGAGCTGATCTCAGCTGCTTCTTAACGGTATGCAAAGCTTACTTGCTTTTCTTTCCCTTTAGGACATTAAGTGAAGGTGTTTTCCAAGGGAGATAGCATTCCCTAGTCCACCTCAAAAATGGGCATTAAAGCCTGTCTTGTGTTCCTTCCTGATTTGCCAGCTTGGTTGTGTTAGTAGGGCTGCATGCTTTACTTGAAATCAATGAAACGAGCCCCCAATACAATCTGGTGTGTGAGGCAGTGGGGGCACATCACTCCATGAGACGGTGCTGCAAAGCACCCCCAGTTTGTAGCCTGGCTTTGCACAAAGCGAACATTGTTTAAATTATCTCCATATTGTTATCAGTTGGAGAGCCAGTTCTAGAGTAGCTCCAGTGCTTTTGGGCAAGAGGATGAGAGATGGAAAAGCCTTAATTCTGGTGCTCTGTTGTTATTGCCATATTGTTACAGATGAATGGAGCCAATATGCTGTGTCCAACAAGCTTTTTAAAAAGCATGCTTAAGCTGGCCAATTTTATTTGGGATTTGAATTGGTGTCTTGAATTGCTTTCCTGTCCAGTATCTCCTCCCCCGTCTCCCCCTGCAATTTGACCTGAAAGGCACATTTTGCAGAAAACAGTATTCTGGGAGCAAATAGCAGCAGCGGGGAAGGATTTGGGGCAGAAGATCACTGCAAGGCCCAGATGAGGAGCATAAACCTGGGGGATCTTGTGCCTGTTTTTCCTTCTAAATAAAAGTAGCCACCTTAAGCATGCTTTTTAAACATTGTATTTAATGCAACATGTAATGTGGCCCTGTCTTTTGCATTTCTCCCTGCTTGCACTGTGTTTTGATTTTGATTTTGCAAGCTGCACGCTCTCACCTTTGTACCTTTGTTCCCCAGTGACTGGACAGTGAAGCTCTGGAGTGCAAGGAGGCTATTGAGCGGCACAACCTAGAAGCTGTGAAAAGTGACCACAGTCGAGGTCGCAAGAAGATCAAAGTGGTGCCCTTGTTGAGCCTGTCTGACAAAGACTAGGAAGTAGCATCTGGCTTCTCGTATACTCAGGGCTTCAGGAACAGTTGGCGTCCTGGCGTCTTGGTACCGGGTACACTGGCAAGTGTGTTGGCTATATGGTGCAAGGGAGTCTCCTTCCCTTTCCTGTTCCCATGCTCAGCATCCTTGTTTGGTAGGATTTTGCGATGATACCGAATTATAAAATGAAGCTGCGCCTGACACCAACAGCCAGTGAAGAAGGGCAAGTGGAGGCATTTGTGAGCGTTTCCCCAATCAGAATCTCTTCGCCACCTTTCCTGGGGGATGTGTGATGAGCTCTGCAAAACAGGCAGTTTTTGGTGTTTCTGGACCAGTGGCTTATCAAGAGGAAAGAGAAAAAAAGCAAGCTCTCATGCTTTGCATGAGGAAACTGCACCCACAATTCCTACTGTCCAAGAGCTGCCTGTGTCCTGCTTATGCCTTTAGGGCGACCATGAAACTGACTCGAACATGCCGTCTGCTTCCTGGATGCATTCCCTGCGTAGCTGATCGTCACGTTTTAGAGGATGTTTCTTGTTCTAGTTAGGTCTTTCATGGGTGTCTGTGAAGTGCTGACATTCTTTTTTCTTATTTCCATTAGCAATGGACTGTGTTTAAAGGGAAGAAGCAGCATGTGGGGAGCAAAATGAGCCACCTTAATTTGAGCACTTGTGTTTCTCTCAATTTTCATTCCAAAGTAGTCACTCAGAGGTTTTCATTTTGAGACACCAGGTGGTCATGATGCTAGTTTTTGCACATTAAAGATCACAAATATCCCTGCAATGACAATATAAAAAAGGAAAAAAAATCTCGTTTTAATGAGAACTGTTCAATTGAGATGTAATTATCATGTGGCATCAAGATTTCTGTGAGTTTGGAAGAATTACTGCTTTCAGTTTTCCGTTTTGGATCAGAAAATGTAATGCTGGATCCTTTCCCCCTAGTGCTAGATATCCAACAAAAATAGACTTTAAGCTGGTGGAATATACTTTCGATTCAACCTGATGCAGCCTGGAAAAATCCGCATTTTTGTTTCAGCCTGTTCAACTGTTTACTTTGTCCTCTTCCAGCCACAGCAGAATTTATTGAAACTTCCTTCCAATGGAGAAAGATTTCTGTCTGGGAACAGAAAATTGTGGGGAGTTCCCTTCAGCTTTCAAACAGGGTAGGAAACACTTGAACTAGCCAAATGCAGGGGCGTGATGGTAGATTTTTGTATTTTTGGGGTGACAAGACTCCCTTGAAAACAATGAATCTGCTTCTCTTAATCTCACCCCTGGGATCTCTTTTTGTTTATACCTGTTTGAAATGTACCTGTTCTGGCCTGTTTACAGTTATTCTCCTTTATTCTAAGAAACAAATTGCAAGAGAGGCTTGGTTGTCCACTTCAATCAACTTGAACTTTTGTTGGATACTTTTCAACCCACTTGAGTTTGCCAGCGGACTCAGACCCTAAGCCCATGGAGTTTCACTCTGTGAAAGAGAAACTTTCATCTGTGCTAAACATGGCAGAGCTATCCAGATCTTGCTGGAGTCTTTATGCCTTGAATGCTTCTGAACTCTTCAGTCGTGTTGTGTTCTTCCAACCAAGATCATCTCTCACTCAGCAGACTTGGGGAAAGCAGCACACCAGTGGGCAGATTTCGTCAAGCAGGCTGAAAACAGCTGCCTCTCAGATGCTTTAGATCATTCCATAGCAGTGTCCCTAGTTGATAGGAGTCTTCTGCTTCAATATACTGGGCTAAGTACATGGGCTACTTTTGCCCATGTACCCCAGCCTTCCCTGACCAGATGCTCTCCAGATGCATTGGACTACAACTGGACATTGCAGTCCCCTAACATCCAGATGGCACCAAGTAAGGGAAGGTTGATATACACACGCGAGAATCCCTTTCCATGTAGTGAAGCTGCGAGTTCCTCTGTAAGAGTAGGAAGTTGTACTGTAATTCTCTAGGCTATACGTATTGTCTTGTGCATTTTTTTTGTGGGGGGAGGGCAGAAAGGTATGTGTGTGCACGTGCACATGAGCGAGAGATTTGGAGACTAAAGACTTGTTTTGGGTTAACCTACCTCATGGTTCAAGGCATTTGGCATGTTTAGTTTTTTTGTTTTTTATGTTAATGAAACTTGAATTGGTCTGGGGAACGCACATTATTACTAATTTCCGAGCTTGAGCAAGGGTAGAAAGCAGCTGGGCTCTGTGCTTTGCCTTCACGGTTACTTGGTTATGTTGAAGTCCAAGGCTTGTTCTGTGTCCACCAGCTGCGCCATTTTAATAAGCTTTTCTTAATTGTTAAGGCTGGTATTTATTGAATCGTGGTGTCTTTTGCCATCTCCTGACTCAGCGTTCTGGACTGAGATGGGAGATGGCTGAGTCCTGGAAGAAGCACACTCTTCCACTGGTAATGAAATCAGCACAATCCCCATCTCCCCACTTGGCTACTCAAGCTATCTTGTCTGGCTATTTAGGGAAGCTTGTAGTCACCTGTGAATGTTAGTTGCTGCAAAAAGCTAGGACTAGATTGTGAATTAGCTGCACACCGTTCACTTAAACCTTCCTACCTTTGTCCCTGTAGGAAGGTTGTGTAGAACAAATATGAGATGTCCTGTAAATTGATACTTGAGATACCTGATCATTTTGTCAGGGGGCGCTCTCTATCTGTTAAATTATTGAGCACATTTCCCATATAGTCCCATGTGCCTCTGCTATTTCTTAGCGCTAGGTATGGGATTATATTTTCTCATATTGATGAAACCCCCACCCCTTTTTATTTTGTAGTACTCCTGACCCCACGGTTGTGGTAGGAAGTGTGCACATCTAGAACTGAAATGTGGTGCAATGTGGGGGAGTAATTTTATTGGAATTGTTAAGTATAATTTGCCCTCCTGTAGTTGAAGCACATAGTGAAAATAATTAAAAGTAACAAAAGCTGAAAATCTCATCTGTTTTTAATGGCACCTTGGAGTGAATGTGCACATTCATCAACTGGACACTCTAATAAAGTTTAGAACTGGGTTGTAATAATCTGCTTAGTTCAGCACTGGGCAATTTTCAGCCCTGGTGTCCCTGAAGGCATAATATTTCAGTTGAGAGAGTGGTCTCCCGATAGTAGGATAATTTATACATTTTCCCTTCATTCCAAGAAGGGAATTGCAGTGAAAACCCTAGTGCACATAATTAACCCACAACATGGTCATATCCTCCAGCACTTGGTTTATATATAAAAAACACATTTTTTCAAAGAGCAGGTGCCTTTTCTTGTCCCAAAAGGTTTCTTTTACTAAAGACTGGTGTTTGTTTGGGGCTTCTATGGGAGGCTGCATCATCTGGCAAACTGGTTGCATGTGCACAAGAATGTGTGTGTGTGTGGATAAGCTGTGTAATTTTTTTACCTCGGTGTAAATAGTGTAAGTTATTTAAGGTTCCTGATGTACATGGTTTTCCAATGAATGTGTTTGATCTTCCACTTAATAAATAAACTTATTAAAATGAAATCTGAGTATTTAAAAAAATAAGGAAGAGGGCTATAAGTGATACTGTAACTGCTAAAGGCTCTTTGAATTAAACGGTTTAGTTAACAAGAAATTGGGGATTTGTTGTGGGTCTGAGCAAGCAACTTCAATTTAGGGGGTAAAAAAACCCAGAAACCCAGAAGAGAATGAGAAATTAGATGTAGTCTGGGGATTACATCTTTCTCATAAGATAACATTTCCTCTTCTGTACCTATATTAGAGCTTGCTCTGGGGCTAAGAGAAAACACTGGCTGTGGTTGTTTCCAAAGAAACAAAAGCAGAGGCAGTTCCTAAAAGCTTGCCACAATTAGAGCACAAAAACTCAAGTAATACATTCTACTCATGATAAAATGTTCAAATACACTTAATACTGTTTAGAACTGAGTCCAAGCCAAATAGCACAGGAGCTCCATAGCCATACCATGTACAAATAGGTTAGTATCAAGAACAGCATGTACTGTACGTACTCCATCACATGGTAATTAGTTGCTTAACCTCCCTGGTTTACCACAGTAACAAAGGCTGCTTCCAGACGAGGCTTTTATTGTGTAATTGTAATTAATTGTAATTACTGTCCTGCTTCATTCACAGAATTTTATAGGGGTCTTCAGATGAAATCATCTTCTGTCAGCAGGTTCGCATGTCATGCTACCCATCCTGTCCATAAGCCATGGTGGATTGGCTATTGCACCAACCTAACCCAACCCCAACCCAATATCAGGCTTATTGTGGTTTGCCTCCCCTATCTACACTGCCTTGGCCAGAGTGCACACATCTGTGTGCATATTCCCCCCTCAAAAAACTTGTATTGGCCCTGTCAAAAACCCTGCTTTAAAAGGACGCCTGAGCTGTGACAGTTGTCAAGGTTCATGCTCCTGTAAAATGGGGTGGCTTGCACTGTTCCAGCTTCTCGAGCACCCAGAATTTCAGGAAAAGGCTGAAAAGATGCAGCACACTAAGAATTGGCTCCAGCCCAAAACAAAAGATAGGCTTCCACTGGGAAAGGAGTGCCTGGGACTAGGGCTGGGAAGTGGGATGGCCAGGGACCAGACAAGAGCGTAAGAGGCACCAGGATCAGGGCAACAGAGCTGCTGAAAAGATAGTCCAAAAGCAGGGTTTAATCGGAAGTCCAAATCATTGTCATGGCGTAGTGGTGAAGAGCATGGGACTGGGACTCAGGCGATCTGGGTTCAAGTCCCCGCTCAGCCATGGAGCCAACTGGGTGACTTTGGGCCAGTCACAGACTCTCAGCCCAACCTACCTCACAGGGTTGTTGTTGTGGGGATAAGATGGAGGAGGAGAATGATGTAAGCTGCCTTGAGCTCTTTGTAGAAAAAAGGCAGGATATAAATCGAAATAATAAATAATAATAAATGGTACAGACCAAGATGAGGAACCAGAAGAATGCATGAGGGCAGAGCAAGGACATGGTCAGAAACAAGCCGAGGATTGAGAACCAGGAGGACAAATGCAGGTACCTTGGACAGGATAACAGGGCAGGAGACACAGCGTGGCAGGAACCAGATGCAGCGAGGGTCAAGCAAGATGCAGGAGCTGAACCACAGCTCACAGGAAGCCCTGCATTACTGAGGCAACACGGCAAGGCAAGCTACGGGTCAGGCAAGAGGCAGGCACAACAGCAAACAGGCAAACCTGTGTTGCTGAGGGAACATGGATAGGAGATAAAGCAAAGTCCAGGATCCACAGCAGGAACCAGGAGTGGGAAAGGTCAGGCGGGATGCAGGCAGAGCAGCAACGGGAAGGCCCATGCTGCTGAGGCAACATGCCAAAGCAAGAGACAAGGAAAGAATCAGGAGCAAGCACTACATACAGGAAAACCTGAATCACCGAGGCCAGTTCTCAAGGGAAGAGCTCTCTTACATGCTCTTCCCCCAGGACTCCCAGCTGGCACTCATCAGCAGAATCAGTGCTCCAGCAGGGCTTGGGCCTGATCCAGCAATTACAGTGGGGGGGGGGGGGTGGTTTTGGTTCTAGCCACCAAAGCAACCTGATACCTAACATGGCTGATTCAATGCCCAACCATTTTCTTGAGCAAAGGTCCCTCATGGCTTTGCTTTCCCTTGTCAGCTTGCCTTTCAACAACTGTCAGGGGAAAGCAAAATGGAAATAAACATCTTTGTACCCTTTTTTAAGTTGACGTTCATAATGGGTTCCTCCAAGAAAGACATCACCAAGGCAAGCATGCTCATTTGGAGTTGCACAGCTGCACACTTGTGCAAGTCCCACTTCTTTAAAAATAACAAAAATATTTGCACATACCTCTGGTGTGCAATTGAAAAAACAGCCGCAACAGCCCCTCCAGCGTACCTCTTGGGCACCTGAGAGAGGCTGCCACTGCCTGTCAACTTGGAGATGGCAAGAGTGACCTCCAGAAAGAAAAAGAGGGAAGGGGAGGAAAGCTAGGGCAGACGACAAGGCTGCCACGACCACAGTGGAGGACCTGGAGCCCAGTGCCAGGCACTCCACCGTGCCAATGTTGCATTTGAGGGCAGCTGGCACTGACTTGAGTGAGCTTGGCAAGGGCGGCAAAACCCTTTGCCCCTCTTGCCAAGCGACTGCTCCTTCCCAGTACCAACAATGGGCTTGGATTCAAAGGATGGCACAAGGACCCACCATAGGTACAACTACTCCTGCACCAAGCTATGGGTTGTCAGGATGGCTTGCGGCCAATGAACCAACCACCCAACCAGATACAGTCTAGGACAATCCACCATATCTTGTTACTCAATCGAGACGCATGTAAACCCAGTCAACAAGTAACTTTCACATGTGTTCTCACTCTTGCTTCTCTTTTTTAAATTAACTGGCAGGGGAACCTGCCCCCATCCATTAAATAGGAAAAGTTGAAAAAACTGCTTTATGCCTTTTGCGTGATAGTGCTAGGAAGCACCTGAAGACAAGGATTAAAAACCACTCCTGAAGCAAGTGTGCAAGTGGTCATATTTGTGTGTCTTTTCTGGGATTGCAGGAATTTAGTAGATTGAGACTCTCCTTTTCTTTTTTTTTTTAGATTGCAACATTTCTAGCCATTAAGACTGTGGAATTAAGCTAATCCATGTGCTCGAGGTTGAGAAGGCAAAAAAAGGGATGAACAATGTCTCAGGAAATGGAGTTTTAGTTTCCTGCTTATCTCTTTATTCCTTGCCATTTCTACCAAAGGCTATTATACAAATTTGCTTTATTTGCATCATTTTAATAAACACAAGCTGCCAAATTCAGTTTTCTTTCACCAAAAAGAAAAAGGTGACTTACCTCTTGGGCACTGTTTTTGGTTTTCTAACAGAAACTATATTCAACCTGCCAAGAGGATGCACAGAGAAATCTTAAGCATTGAAGACTCTAGGCTGACAAGATCATACTGGCACTTTTTAATGTTCTGAAACTGACCCTGAGGACTCTTACGGGCCTCTCAAGCCCAACTGTTTATGGAAAGTTTCAGGAAAACACCACACTGAAGTGTGGCTTGAGGGGAAGATGGGGCAACCAAGCTGAAATGATGTCACATTGGAGCATTTTTTGATGGAGGTGGATGGTCACCATGCCAAAAAGCATCTGCAAACATGTTAACTTTCCCTAAGTTTGTTTCATAAACATGTTATGCAAGTAGAGCTGAGTTAATCAACTAGGGGGTGTCATTCTAACAAAGCTTCCCTGTGACTTTAACAACTGAATGACAGGAGAAAATTCAGCAGGTCAGTGATGACATTTCTTTGCTCAATGAAGATGCAATAAAAATTTAAGCAGCAAGTTTTTTGCCTGTCACGAAACCTATACAACCAACTCAGGAAAAATGTTGGCAACTCTAACAAAATACCAACTCTCAGGAGCACAATGAGGAGGCCAGATAATGGTCCCTGGATGGCTGCAACAGAGCTTTGCTCCAGCTGAGAGAGAAAGCAGCTTTTGGAGAGAGTATCAGAGCTATGCAGTACATCAGATAGCAGGAAACTGCCCGTCTAGTCTCCAGCAGGTGGAACCCAGGTTTCTGGAGCCCATGGCTGAATTAACCATTATGTTAAGCTATACAAAATTCAGTCCTGGCCAAAAAAGGGCCTTGGTATGTTGTGCAAGGATCTAATACATACCCATCCTCCCTTTTATACTGCTTAGTACATTGGCAACCGTTTTCTTGTTGCTCACAAAACTGTTCATCTAAGTTGCAATAGAATAAGCTGCCATCCTGGCCAGCAGGAGGAAACAATCACTGGATATACACCGATCTTGTAACAGACAGCATGTGTGTACAGAGAAATCCCTCCACGTCTATAAAATGATGGTAGATACATAGAAAAATAGAACAACACAGTATATTTAACCCATGAAAATGGACCATTTAAAGCATAATTTCCATTAAAACTGAAAATAAGGAAACCACGATTCACATACAGAACCAAAGTGTTGTGAATTACAGCAGCCTGTGGAAAGGCAGAATAATAAGACGGGTTAAACTGCTTTTGAGGGAGGCCTGCCTGACCCCTTGGCTGCATCATAAAACTTTACGTAAGGCTACAGACAAGAGCAGATAATCCAGATCCAGGAGTTAGAAGGGCACTTTACGGATACACACATACGCTCTTGTTACAGGGGAGCAAAGATTCATGTTCCTGGGCTTGGCTCTGTAAAAGACATGGAGAGTTCTCTGGATTAATGTTGCTTTCACAGCCTACAGGCATTCCATGTTCTTTCTGGCAGAAACAGGCCGGCGTGAATAAATAGGCAAGCCAACAAATGCTAACGAGTTAGTTGGAGTGGGGTTATGGCTGCCCCATATATTCCGCACAGCACAAGGACTGTGATTCTCTTGCAACATGTCCATTGTATTGGTACATCAGTTCATCTTATGACGAAAGGAAAAGGCTGAGCTCTACAGTCTCATGTAGCTTTCAGAGTTGACTCCAAACGTTTACCAAGCTGCAGGAGCTGCAAACCAAGAACATGCAAGCGCCCGGGGCACCAGGCCTCCCTTTTCCAGCCTGGTCTCAAGATCCAACCTGCTACCAATGCAAGGCAGAAAATTCTGTGCATAGATTTGATGTCCTCTAGACTTGAGTTATGATTTCTCCGTTTTCTGGCACATAGACCTGCACAGGGGTTCCTTCGGGAGAGCGTTTCAAGATATGAATACGAGGTCCCTGCAGGGGTCAAAAGAAAGTCTTTAGTGGAACGCCGCACTAGAACTCCTTTCCAGAAGCACCTCTGCTGCCCTTAGAGCATTTCTTCCATTAAGGAAATGCAAAAGGCAGTTACCGTGGCTGACGGCCACTTCCTACCTTTGTTGCTTCAGGAAAACATGACTTGTTACATTTTTCTCTGCCTATAAATTCAATTCCCATCCTGTCACCTAAGTAGCAGAATAGCCAAGTTGCCAGTGCCGGCTGTGGTTTTCCTTCCACTCAATACCACTAAATTGACTAGAGCCTCCTAAAGCAATTCCCCATAAGAAGTGGAGTCCCAGAAGACAAGCAAACATTTACAACTCACTATATTATATGCAGAGGTTGTAATAGCAAGGAGAAAGAAAGCAATCTTGGAGAAAGTCTGTAGAGTAAATTATATTAGGCTACATGGCCCAGTGGGTGAAGTACAAAGCAGCTTCTGGGTAGTGTACTGGCATTCACAGCTACACAACAAACAAAAACCACTGAAAAGCTACTGGCTAGTATCCAAGATACTTCACAACTGAGCTGATGCCTCCAGGTTTTCTACCCTCAACTTGTGTGCATACCCAAAGGTCCAGCACCTCTGAAGCTAGAATTTCAGCCCATACTAATTCCAGAACTGCAACTGTATTAATGTGTTTTAGCAAAAGCTACAGAGAGTCTTGTGGCACTGCAAAGACCTAACACGTCATAACCTCATGTTGACTACTGTCCACTTCATTCAATGCTCCTCTGTGTTTAGGTAACAGCATCCCCTTTTCACTGTTTTTCTCCGTGTGGAGCAGATCCCATGCATTTGAAGCAACTGTTCAAAGAAGGTCTGCAGCCAGAAAATTCTTGTAGCTCAATTATCAAGCCACCTAAGAAAACATGTGTCCCTCAGCTTGAGGAACTGGATTCTGATCATCACCATGGATTTCTCTGATATGCCCTTGTTGGATGGCTTCTATGTTCGGCTGAAACATGGATTAGAGAGTGAAACAGATGCCATGCACCACTGAAGGGCCAGCCCCTTTTGCTCATGCTTCCTAGAGCTACCAGATGCTCCCAGATCAGAATTTCAGAGTGCTGCTTCATGATAGCAGTTACCTTGGCTAAGGGCCACTTCCTACCTTGGTTGCGTCAGGAAGACATGACTTGATGGCCACTGCTCTCAGTGGCTACTAGCCTTGCTGGCTGTGTGCTACCTCCTTGACTGGAAGTGGCCTGCCTGCATGCACCAGTTGCTGCGGAGCTTGAGCAGGGGGAGGTCTTGCACCCGTCCTGCTTGAGGGGCCCTGCGGGCAGCTGCTTTGCCACCCTGTGTACGGAGCGCTGGACTAGAAAGGCCTTCGGTCTGATCCAGCGTGGCTTTTCTTAAGTTCTTGGGTCAGAGCAGGAGAGCACTGAACTGAAAGGGAGGGATCTGAGGACAAGCTCTGGCTTGCACAGTGTGGGCCTCTGCCTTGTGCTGCAGGCAAGGGAGATGGCCAAGAAATAGAGAGCAGGGCTCCATTGTGCAACAGTTTCACACATCCAGCGGACGTAACACTGAGCCAAAAGGCGGATGCAGAATTCTCCCCACTGAGTGCATCTCCCAAGGAACCTGGGTAATAAAACACGGTACAAAGTTTCCAGAATGTAACGTCCTTGAACCAAGGGTGGCGGGAGCAATGGAAACACCTGCCACCTAACAACCTGTCCAGCAAACGTGTAACAAGGGCTTCAACAAGCTGCAGGGCCTTTAGACTTTGCTTAGACTAATAGGAAGGGACTCAGGAAAAATGGTAATATTTAATATGTATTAAATATCTGGATATAAGACATGGATAATTGCCCTCTTCACCACATCAGGAAAGCCATATAAATGCTGATCTACAAATCTTCTACACGGGTATAATTAGAAATACCCAAATAGTTCTCAAAGCAGAGTGGAGGGGGATTTTAAGTAAATGGCTGATAGGAAAACACACCGACACTTTCATCCAGGGGTGCCATGCCTCATTCAGTCCAAGGTCTGAATTCCATTTCAGAGGGGCTTTCAGGAGCTTCACCCCAGTAGAGGGGCAGCAGGTGTCAGGGGCAAAAGGGGCAGGGATAAAATACAATCCCCCCCATTTTATTTAATCTTAGTGCCTGGAGAGGTATTTCAGCTTTTTAGAACGGGAATGGACGGATCCTGCACAATAGCTGGAAAACTACCAACTGGCAGAGCCCCCTGTGGAACCCAGAGGGTTAGATTTAGAAAGGCCAGATTTTGGTCCTGCCCCTGAGGGTCTGCATCCCTGCTATAAGCCCAAAAGGCCTTTTAAGGGATCCCTTCGTGCTTTTGTTCCCAGTAAAATGTTCACCCCTAAAGGCTAATATACTTGACTACTCTATGTAGCGTTCGCTTGCTTTCTGTACTGGGGGCAGCTGGCTTATCGCAGGTGCTCTGGGGCAATGCAGAGTCAGTGATGGTGACGTGGCTTCCTGCTCCCAAGCACCGTGCCCCGTGTCGTTACCTGCACGTGCTGCCCCATGGAACACGCCGAGCGCAGCTCCCTGCCAGGGCAACTGCGCATGCGGAAAGCCCCTTGCCGGTCCAGGGAATGTGGCCTTGCACCGCGCAGACGGGTCCGTTCGTGCCACGATTTGAGCTCTTCTGTCACCACGGACTTGGACAACACCCGGGGGCCCACCAGGGGACAGTCCTTCAGGGAGGGTGTGCGCATCACCCGGCTGTGGGAGACAACTGGCCTGTGGAACCTGACCGGCACCAGCTCTTCCCTGTAGGCAAAGTGAACAGCGCTGCTGGAGAGAAAGGTCGGCCGGCTGTGGCTGTCAGGCACATACTCCATGGCATAGAAGAAGCCCGAGGGACACTCTAGCGTCTGAGGGCGCTGGCAATGGTACTCTGCTTCATGCCCCTTGCAGAGATGGCTCTGAGTCTCCTCCGTGGGCACGGAGGGAGCCGGCTTCAGGAAGGAGATATCAGGGCTGCTGCTCCCTGCAGATGTAGTATAGGAGATGCTGGAGACGTCAGAATTGCTGTCTTCCGAAGCAGAGTGAAAGGTGGGCTTGACCACTGGGTTGGACGTGGGTGCAGAGAAGCAGTACTCTGGGACGGTGACAGTGTAGTAGGTGGGCCGTCGCCTCGGCAACGCGCTTCTTCCACGTGACTCCAAACCTTCCCGGGATGAGCACACCCTGGGGGCCCAAAAAAATCTAAGCAAGGCTCAAAAGTGCTAGCGGTTTTCATTTTTATGCAAGACAGCAGAAAGCACTGATGTCCCCAGAACACACCATTGTCCCCATACAACTGTGATAAATAATAAATATCTAGTTAAAGGGGGAGAAAGTAGATCTCCAGATGTGGTAGACTTCAACTTCCAAAACCACCCACCAACATCAAGAGACCTGTTTTCTGAGCATTGTCAGCTTAAGAGAAGCAGCTAAGAGGAACACCAAGCCTGGCTCATTAATTTTAGACCTTCTAGTGAATTCAATGCCGCCAACTTCTCTTGCTACTTTGGCATGGCTAGTACCTCAATTTGGTGCCCAATCTGTAAGAGGTGCATTTAAAAGGAATGTTATATATTTGGTTTTGGTTGAAACCAAGTCTTTTCCTTCTGGACACTTATCACACAGCATCTGCTTGGAGAGAACAAGCCAATTCCCTCTCAAGCAACATCTAGTAAGCCACATAAACAGAAGCAGAACAGTATTTAATCATGGGTATATAACTGGCAACTGCATCTGTAAACCTGGGGGAAATAAATAAAAGTTTCAAATGTGGAGCTGGAAGTAGATTAAAATGGTGCAGCTTTCTTCAATCTGGCATCCTCCAGATGTGTTGCACGGGAACTCCCATAATCCCCCCACTGGCTGTGCTGGGAGTAGTTTGTTCAACACATCTGGAAGACATCAGCTTGGAGAAAACTGGAATGCCATCACTGATAAGTTGCAAGTGAACTAAGGAGCAAGCCAGTGTTTTCTCCTATTAAGCAGTACTCTGATCCAGATGTTTCTTCAGTTAGTAGCACCAGTAACAGTAGCCCGTATTCCTCTAGCGCCCTGCCACTAGTCTGTCTCCATTTAATAAAACGGACTAGTGCAACTTGTGACCAGCCAGGCCAAACACAATCCAGCAGCTGCGTATGGAAGCCCACCATAGACAGCTTAACAAACCATTACTCTGCATAGCTGAGGTTGTAAAAACAGAGGCAAGAATATACCATGAAGCCGTCAGGAACAAGTCATACCACATGGCTGATGAGGGTTGCATATGGCGCTTTCCTCCTATTTTCTCATCTTTCATGTTTCTCCCATCTCCACACTTCCCCTCATTATACAAGCCATACTCTGACCTCCATAACAGTATAGTTCACAAGTATAGTTTGTGAGCCACCCCAAGGCTTTGTTGCGATGGGGGTGGCACAGAAATGTTTTAAATAAATAAATAAATAATAAGTAAGTAAGTAACAAGAACTCAGGAAGAGAACTCATGGCCTGTTGTTATGCTGAGAACTCTGGGTTAGTCATGGTTAACAACCCATCATTAAACCCATGAATCAACAGCAACCCAAACTCAAGCCATGCTCCATCTATGCACTGGATTGCTACTATGTGCAACCCAGCTCTGGGCGTTCCATATCTTTCATATGGGAAAATGTGCACAACAAGAGACATTTTGTACTCAGGGTTTTGCCTTTCTTGTCTATCAATCATATTTCATGGTTGCTTCTATTCTGCAGTTCTCCCACCACAGTCAAATTTCTGCACTGCTGACCAAATACTTGAAAAAGAAAATTATGCAATTATGTGTATGTTTGATTATTTTGTTCTTTTAGGCTGTTACAAATTTTTATTGTGTTTTACCTCTTCTGTAGCTTATAACAGTTCCCCATGCATTTTACTCTCCCTTTCAAAGCTACCTTCACAGTCTTGAAGACTAGAACCATTTTTTTCTGGTATCCTATGGGGTGATAATTATTGATACTTGTTCTGCTACTGCAAACATCCTGAGCTTTTCCCCCACTATACAGTAAGACTAATATAAGACAAATTAAAGTACATATTAAATACATCAATCAATAAGACATCTCTCAGTCACTTAAATAAGGCACGTACATTTTCATGTTCACTTGTATATGCATGTTTCTTGGGCAAAATCCAAAGCTACCAAAACATTGTCCTCTTCCTCTTCCTCTCTTTTATGTGAATATTATGTTTCCATGTTCATATTTCACGAATACAACATTTTTATATAGGGCACAAAATCCAGCATCTTGAGATATGTTTTTTTTAAGTGTCATCTTAATTTTGCAGATGGATTTGTTAGTTAACAACATAAGGAACTGATAGCTTAAATTTTGGCTGCAGCATGTATACTGTATGCAACAAAGTGCGGGGAGGAAATAGCTTTTAGGGAAGAGTGGCTGGAGTTTTTGCTATTATGGCAACTTACTATATCATAGTTATATTTGAACTGCAGAGGGGAAGGCAAAGAAAAAATAAATTTATTTAAAAATGGACAACCTTTTTTGTACATGAAAAGCAATACATACAAACATTCAGTTTTGTTTTCAATGATTTGTTCTAGAGTATAATGCTTGATTTAGGGCTGTTATACATGCCTAGATGGGCACAGGAGAATTCGGAACACTGGGCTTTTTGCCCTATTTAACATTTTGCAGTTGTGAAATGTGAACATGGAAGCACGATATGCTCACATTCCTGGTGTAGGAAGTATACACCAATTTTTTTTCCTACTGGTGTGCCAAAATCCAAAGTCAGAACGAAATGAGAAGGCTGCTCGCGTGACTACATTTCCCTAAGCCTGTTCAGTACCTTACGAGCTGCGATTCTCCTCGCCTTCCCAGGAACTCTGGGGTGGGTGGAGCGCTAGAGCCAGACTGTCTCCTGAGTTCCAGCTTCCTGGTAGGAACAAAATGGCACAGCGGAGGCTCGACCAAGCCCTGAGCAGGGGGGCTGGGGGCAGGCTGGGACAACACGCCTGGACCGCTGCAATAAAACACAGTGGAAATGACAAGCTGGAAACAACCCGCTCCATTGGTTTTCCACCTGCTAGCAATTTTCCCTGAATGAAAACATAGCTGGTTAGAGGACATGCAATCCCCCACATCAACCCTAAGAGACAAAAGGGAAGAAAAGGGAAAGACTGTAGGGCTCAGGCAAACAAGACAGTTCAGGGGTCCTGAAAGGGTATTTTTCACATGTGGCATAAAACTGCTTCCTGCATTTATGCATTCTGTAATGCAGTTGTGAGGCCTACATCAGCTGGAATGCATGTTGTATTTTATTTTGTCTAGAATATTTATATCCTAGAAGTCTGTCATTGTTTAATCTCTTCTGTATATTCTTTCCACCTTCTACTTATTTCCTTCTAGTCAGAAAGTGTGTCCCTCTGTTTGTCTTTTAGCATCCCTAATAATTTTAATTTCCCTTGATTTCTTGGATCTTCTGGAAGAGGTAGCTTGTTTTCCCTCTTTTGTTGTTCTCTTCTCTTTTTTTTTTTTTTTTTTTGCACGGCCATTGCCATAATTCATTTTGTCCTTACACAGCGGTACCTGAGACGTTGCATCCAGGATGCTGAACTTCTAGCTGTCACCATTTGCTTTTGCTTCTTACCAGTCCTTAGCAATTGTAAGCGTGTCTTCTATCATTCATATAGGTCTTTTCTTTCTTTTTGCTAAAGGAATTGTCTTTTTGCAACTGTCTCTGGTTTCAGTCCACAGTTCCTCTGGTTGATAGACAGCTAAGGTCAGTAATACAAATCTGTGCTTTAGGTGTCCTTTACATTCTTTAGGAATGTTTTTAAGTTGCATTTTGGCACTATACATAATTTTAGCAGTAAAAATATAACTTCCCAGTCTTCTGCTACCAGTTATGTAGCCTATTTGATTTCTATATTGGTCCTGTATTACAAATCAAAACTATTCCAAACTAATAATTGCTTTATTCATTAACAAGTTGCCTGATTAATTTTTCCTGTAGGCAAGGCCTTCGGCACAAGAAAATCCTGCAAAGAATGATATCCTTGGACACAAAAGCTAAATTTTTATCCCTGGGATAAATCAGTAAAAATACTCAGTATATGTATAACACTTTCCCTAAATGTTTAAAGCCAGGGACACACTTTAGCTCAATAAACCTCATAACATACCCATAAGGTGCAGATGGGGTAGGGGCTAATTAAAAGAATTTGTGCATAAATTGAAATCTGAGCTGGTGATTTTAAGGGCACAATCCTATGCAAATTTAGGCAGGAAAAATGCTGGGAATGCTGGGAGTTGCAGCATTCTTCTTCTGCCTAAAGATGCACAGGCTTGCATGCAAAGCCAAGCTGAACCTCACTGTCAAGAGCTCCAACACGGCACACATGCAGGCTGCAGTTTACGCAAACTGACATCACCCAGGCTGGTCTCTGGGATCGGACAGAAATACTCTAAGACGAACGCAAGGGTGGATGGGCCTAGCAAATAGTCTCGACCTTGGCATGCTGCTGGTATCAAAGGACTTCTTCGGCTTCTCGTAGGGTTTATCCAGGCTGGTCTCCTTCCAAGGGCTGTTCTGGATGGGGGAACCCTCCAGGATGCTGGCTTGGCCATGGTTCTGTCCTTCCAGCAGGGCAGGGTGTGGAGGCTGGACGGAAGAGCTCTGCTGGGGCTGCAGGTGAGCTGAAGCAGTGAGCTGCGATGGAGGATGCGGGCCCAGGGCCTGGGGTTCTTCAAAGAAAGGAGAGAATTACAGCTCGCCAACGCGAGCACCTGGGTGCTGTTTTAATTCACGGTTCCATTCAAAACCTACCCGATCACTTCCTGAACCTGGGCTCTCTAACCATTTCTCAATTAAATCAAAGCAGGATGTTGAAATCCCCCAAATCAGGCAACTCTGTACATGAACCTCATCCTAAAAGTTTGGTTAATCTAGATTTAGATAAGATCAGTTAACTAACTCCCTTCGAGCTTGCCTGGATGCTGTGGCCAAATGCTTAATCATGCAGCAACGAGAATCAGGACCAAACTTGACAGGTCCCGGGTGAATTATTTAGATAAAACCCTGCCTCGGGCTGGACTGGGAATGGTGGCCAAATCTGTATGAATTAAAGCCAAGCTTGAGAAGACAGTGGAGAGCTGTGATCAGATAGTTCATATCTTTAAGCATTATGATTATTATTATTTAATTTATTGTTGTAAGCCGCCCCGAGGCTTCGGCGAATGGGGCGGCATAAAAATGTTTTAATAAATAATAAATAAATAAATATTTAAAACCCTGAATTAAAATATCCAGATTGCATTGGGACTGGAGGACTGCAATTAACAGTCCAGCCCTCTCTCCACGAATTCCTGCTCCCCAAGGCACTATTTGGCCCTTGGGAAACATATATGGGCACAAAGTTCATTTGGAATCAGGAAACAGAGAACTGGATTATATTCTAGGGTCAAGGAATCTGCCATCGATTTTGTGGTGTCACAAAAGGTGTTTACAGGAGGCTGGTCTACAGGAGCACAAATATTTAACCTGGAAGGTTGTTACAGAGCATGATGAATTTCAAGGCCGTCCAGTGGAGTCTGGTGGCTCCAAAGTCTGTAGGGTGGTGTAGCCACTCCAAGTGGTCTGAACTTCAAGGTCAGAACTCTCTCTCCAATCCAGGTTCATCACCACGAATAGCTCCTTTAAGAGTCAGACTAATGCCTGGAGTGGATACACTGCCCAGCAACCCTGGAGCCAACAGCTTCCATGGAGGCCATCACAACATGCAAAAGAAGCCCATGCTTCAGGGTGGCTGAAACCCACAGCCCTGAGATGCCTGTGTCTCTTTCTTTCTTTCTTTACTGCCCAATAGCCGAGGCTCTCCGGGCAGCTCGCAACAGCTTGAGATTATCCCCATGCCGGTGTGCAAGCGATGGAGAGGCACAAGAGAAGGTCCCAGCAGGCCTTGTCTAGCTCACCTTGCTCTACCAGAGCAGCATCTGACGGGGAACTCTCCTCCGAGACACAGAACCCTGTGGGAGAAGCAAGCACAGACACTGACAGATCAGCACTGTGTTGAATGCTGCAGGTCAGGATTGCCGATCCCCCATGCCCCCTCCCCTTTCCTGTTTCCTGGCCGAAATCCCCTCTCCCAGTCAAGCTCCATTCCACGGCCCCCAAGCATACTCAGTCCTCATTGGGCTGATTTTCGGGTGAAAGGGATTCCCCCACTCAAAGCTTTTGTGTGCTTCCGCCTGCCTCTTTGTTGGAATGGCTGCATAAGCAAAGGCACTCATAGTTTAAACACCAGAAACAGAATGCCTGGGGTCAGCCATTGCAGACCCCCATTTAACGTACACACTGTCAAGCTCATCAGAACCTTCTGACAGTCCCTAGAAATATGCCAACTCAGCAACCCAGATGGGAAAGCTTCTCACCCTCCACTTTGCACTGAGCTAATTCCCAGAACCTCAGACCACATCATTCAAGGCACTGTATCCATGTACACATACTTACAGTCCTCAAAGAAATATTCCCTGATGCAGAGAATTAGTAGTAATTTGAGGGATTTGGATCTGCATTCAAGGCAGTTGCTTCCCAGACTGCCAAAATACTCAATTATGGATTCAGATTTAAAAATGCCTTTCACTCTTCACATGGATGATCCATTTTGGTTATGATCCAATGCAGAATTAAGCACTCTTAGGCCAATTAATTCCAAAGCGCTTAAGCATTCTTAGCTCTCTGCTGGAATGTGGCTGGTAGCTACTGCATGTATTGTACCACCTGTGGAGGGGAGCTGGCTAGGGTAACCTCCTTCAGTGGAGGAGACCTCCTGTCCAGCCTGCATGGATCTCAAGCCTCTCGTCACTGGCAAAAGGGCCACCGCTTAGAGGCAGAGTACTAGGCCCTGGACACTGCTGCCGGTCATAGATACCAGCACTGAGCTACATGTCTCATGCTCTGACCTGGGGAGCCAGCGCACAATCATTGTGCATGGGGGAGAGAGGGCCCCACCTGCCATTGTTTAATCAGCAGCCCACAAATGCCTGCTTTGTGGGTTGCTAAGCTGTTAACTGTGGCTTGTTGGCTGGATTCACAGCTACCCCTAACATTTGGGTTCAGATGACAAACTCAGCGAGTGTGAAGAAGTGGTGAAGGAGCTGCTGGTGAGATGTTCCGTAAAAACAAAAGTGGTGGGCCCACAGGAAGCCACTTTTTCTCGCTCACTCCCTCTCACTCCCCACCTATTCAATCTGTGACAACCCAGTAGCTGTTCAACCCAGGAAGTGCCGTGATAAAGCCACTTCCCACATTCCAGGAACTTCTCATGGACAAATTGCATGAATGTTTTTTGCATTCTTGTGCAAAAAGCACTGACCCATCAATCTACATCAGAGGATATACCCACAACACAATATACTTTTAGTCAAGAAATACCTAAAGCCAGATACATGAAACAGCTATCTGATAAGGAGAGGAACTGAGCCCACGAACACAATCCTAATTGCAAGTTAAGTCACACTGTACTCAGTGGAACGTACTCCATAAGGCTGCAGCCTGCCTTTATAAAAGCAAGTGATTTGGACTGAGAAAGGATCCAGAACAACCTACCAAAGCCTCCCCAAGAGGGTTAATTTGATGCTACAAGTCTTTGCGTCATTCACTGCAGGTTTCTACATGCTTCCTCCTCCAGCTGACTCTCCCAGTTCTTTCTTGTAGTGTTTGGCAACTGCTTACTCAGAATTGTAGGTCATAGATTACAGAGGCAGGAAAAAGCCATAAAAGGCCAGCTTCCTGCCTTGCATTGGGATAAACTCCAACTAAACTACGCCTGTCAAAAGTTTGCCTGACCTACTTCTTATGATTTTCAGGGATGGGTACTTAATCCCATTTCCTGACAATTCTTATAGTTACACAAACCACTTCCTGATAATAATGAAGAGTTCTGTGGAATCTTACAAAGACTTATGCATTTATTATGGCATATGCTTTCACACACCATTAAAATGCATTAATACTTAAGACGCCATAAGAATCTTGGTTCTTTTTGCTGAGGCAGAATAATTCAGCGACCCCCTTTGGAAACACTTCCTGAGATATAATACTTCCATTTACAGTTCTTTTAATTTTGTCCTATTCTACCAGGGTCAGATAGAACAATCTCATCATTCTACCCTTTGCATATTTTATTATCAGTACCACCTCTCTTTCTTTCACTCATTCTCTAGGTTCGAAAAACCTGGTAACTTACACTGGAAGTTGAATGTGAGTTGAGTATGGGTTGTCTTTGAGCTGTGAACTCTTGTTGAAACATGGTTCATTGTCTTACCTTAACCCTGAAATAACAAGCCATGGGAAGCAACCCTCAGTTCGCAACCCCTCCAATCTCTGCATAGATCATTTGTGGTTAACAAGCCATGGCTTATTAGAACTGCCTTCAGACTACACAACAAGCCACGTTTCAGCAACAGCTCATTGTTTAATAGCAACTCACATTCAACCCTTGTGTGCAGGTTGCCGTGTTGTTTGGCCCCTCCTGCCACCCACCACTCCTCAAGCCTTCTCCTAGGTGACATGAATGTACTTTCTTGTACCATCCTTTGAAATTGCACCATTTTTATGAGATTTTTCACAGCCATTCAGTCATTGGATAGAGGCAGCTCACCTTCTAAAGCAGGAGCACTGGCCCTTAGCTGTGAGGAATGCTTGGCTGCCAGGCGGTACTCATGGAGGGCTTGCTGCAACTCCTTCAGCTTCTTTTCCTCCTTCAGCACAGCACTTTTCCGGTGCTTGCGGACCTGCTTGGTGAGATTCTCTTCCCGGGAGAGACACCGCGCGGCTTCGGCAAACTGCAGCTGGAGGGCCAGTTCTCTCTCCAGCGTGCTCAGGGGATCCTGTGGCGGAGAAGACACACATTGCCGGGAACTGCAGTTTCCCAGTGACCCTCAGCAAGGATGCACTGCAGCCCAATAGCGGAAATAGAGCGTGTGAGGTCCACATGGACAGAATCCCTGTCCGAGAGGGCTTAGCTCAGTGGGAGAGCACTGGCTTTGCATGCAGAAGGTCTCAAGTTCAATCCTCAGCTTCCCCAAGTAGGGCTGGAAAAACTGCCCGAAACCTGGACAGCTGCTGCCAGTCAGTGTTGACAGTACTGGGCTAGATGAGCCAAGGGTCGGGATCAATACAAGGCAGCTTCACAGAATCCGAAGTCACTAGTCCAGTGTGTGTAGTGGGTATCGTGCTGGGCTTGTGCTCAGGAGATTCAAATTCTAGTCCTCATCCAGCTATAAAACTCACGGGCAGATCTTGGGCCAGTTGCTGATGCTCAGCCTAACCTGCCTCACAGTGATTCTGAGGATAACATGCCGAGGAGGGGTGCTGCCTAAACCGCCCTGGGCTCCTTGCAAGAGGAAAAAAAGGCAAGGTATAAATGTAAGAAAATTAAATAAAGCCATGAGGAAGACAGAGCACTTCTTGGGAAGGGGTGTGCTTCCAAGTCCCCACCCTCGCCTCCCCTTCCTCCTCTCTACCCCATTCAGTGAAGGGCTATTTTTATGGCCATCTCAGTAGACCAAATCAGGTTACGGGAGTGGATGATCTCCTTTTCTTGATTATATTCTGAGTACATTCAAGTCCTGCATGCAACCATCATGAGCTGCTTACCCACATGTATGTCCACCAAACCATGTTTTGTAAAATGTGTGAAACAGGCATGGGTGCTTTGCTACATGTGCGAGAGCACAGCTTGTGTGTGGGGTGGGAGGGGAGTGTTCACTTTTCCCCCAAAATTTCAGGTTAGATGCTTCAGCATGGGGAATGGGGGAAAAGGCACACTGAGCCCACAAACAGAAGAAAGAAAAGCATCCCTTGGATACTGAGGCCTAGGGAGAAATATGGCCTTACTGATGCTCAAAGCTGCAAGATGGAAAAACGCAAGCCTGTGCTTTAGGGTTCCACCTCTCAAAGTTTTTTTTTTTTTTAAAGGAAGGCAAGTTAGTTCTAAAAACACACAAAAAGTTACTTGCATAAGAGGAGGGAAGCTCAGCTCCCTTGTCTTGCTCAGCATCAGCGATTTTACAGACAGCGTGTAATGAATATCTGCAGCATTCACACAACAGCACACAGGCAAGTTATATTCACATTGGATTTTCCAAAGGCTTGCAGTCTGAATGCTGGAAAAATGCTGTTCCCTGATCCACCCGGTTAGCTGTGGAAGGGATATTCGAATTCCCTTGCAATAATCTGCCAATTTGGAGAATGTCATCTGAATTCTGCCCACCTGCTGTGCAAGCACAGCACATATTTAGAGTGAAAAAAACCCTGCCAGCTGTGTGCCCCCTCCATTCTGCACTCGGAAAGACTGCAAAGAAACCTGGTAGCATGCATAACTTTGCTTCAATATGAGTATAGGAAGGAGAGCTATTTTATTCAATCCATGTTGAAAAGTAAGGTAAGTCTGAAAAAGCCCCCAGCTCTTTGCATGGTCCGGTGATACTGTAAATCTGTACAGTAGTAAACCTGACAGCCTCTGGAATCTGGTATGGTCATAAGTTTAGCATAATATATTTAAAGACCTCCAGTGTGAATCATATCTTGTGCCAAGGGGCTGCTAAAGAGAGCCAAATGTGCAATAGAGATGGGGAATGCGTGGCCCTCTGGATGTTGTCAGACTGCAGTTCCCATTATAATGTTCCCATTATCTCTTTCCAGGGGCTGTGCTCGCTATCCCCATCCCTGCTATTCAAAGTCAGATCCATTTGCCTTCTTCTTCCTATACAACGGAATGGTACTCAACGTGCTCTGAAACTCAAGGACTGAAAATCACCCAGGAGAACCCAAGAAGTTGCGATGGATGTATCTGGATGGCTTTAAAAAGGGACTGGGTGCCTTCATGAGGAAAAGGCCAAGAAGGGCTGATGGCGCTATACCACCTCCTCTATGCGAGGCAGCCTGCTTATGCACACAAATTCCTGGGGAACGTGAGCAGGAGGACCTTGTGCTTGTGCTCTGCTTGTGCTCTGCTTGTGGACTTACCACTAGCAACTGTTGGACCCCGTGCGATCGACCCTTGGTCTGATCATGCACAGCTCTTCTTGGATGCATGGGGAAAGCATGGTCAGCAAGCACTCTTTGTTAGGGGCTGGCAGGCAAGGTAATGGAGATAAAGCACCTTCTCCTTAATGAACTGCGCTCTTCCTGTCCTACCCACAGTTAAGATAATGAAAAAAACAGGAGGAAGGTGCAATTTCCACTCTTATAATGCATGCTTAGAAGTGGAGGGAGGAATTTTAACGCTGTTTAGGGGTTTGTGAGCCCTGAGCAAGGGGTAATAATTATTCTGGATTTGAGTAATTACAGTTAAAAGAGTGTGTTCTGCTCTCTGTGCCACAGAACCGTGTTTGCAGCTCCATTTCTAGCTGTCTCCTAAGCTCAGTGATCCGGAGGAAGACAAACAACAAGGGGTAGGACCTTTTCTGTTGAAACATTGTGCTATAAGGAAGCTTTCAGACAGACTATTCCAAGAATTACCAGTCAAAAGTCCTTGCTCAAGTATTCTGCCTTTCTCTCCTTACCAGATTATTTGTGGTACGGACAAAAAAATGCCCAGAAAAGGGTGACAAAGAGAAAACTACTCTATCTGGAACCCTCCCCCAATTCCATGATGCCACATAATTGAACTATAAAGGTTTCATCTGGAAGCATCCCAAAAGGGAGGCATGCACTGTTCCCAGTACAACAGGCTCCTAACGCTGGAGGAAGGTTGCAGAGAGGTAAGCAGCATGTCAGTGAGATGAAAGCTAAGGGAAAAAGCGTCCTGAGCGTGCATGTGAGAAAAGCAGCTACAGTCAGCAAAAGAGCAGCTCTACTCAGCACCCACACCCTGCGCCACCCATTGTGGGCACGGAGTGAAAGAATAAGCAGCACCACACCTCAGCTGCCTCCTAGTGAGATTATTATTAACACAGAGCACAGGCGAGGGAGGGAGTGAAGAAGCTGCACAACTGCAAGTCCCATGCTGCTGACGGAAACGAGGCCTTACTCGGTTTGCTTGCTTGCAGCCTGCAGCTGCCACATCCCTTTGATTCTCCTAAAGAAGAGCTGAACCTGAAAAGGCCCCCTTGCCCCTTAAGCCACCTTTGCGCTGACAACGGCTTTCTGACACCTTCAATGAAGTGAAGAATTCACTGGCAGTAAAATCTTAACATAGATCTTGCTTTTCTTTTCTGGACTGGCTCGTGTCAAAAGGGATCTGAACCAATTGTGACAAGGAGAAATAAAGCTTACTTGGATGAAGGAAGACTGCCTGCTAAGAATTATTGACTTAGGTGAAGAAATTGTGATAAGAGTTAAAGGTGGAACATGGCAAAGGTGCACTGACTCCCCCACTAGGGGGCAGTATGCCCCTCAGTCTCTGCATAAAGAAACCATACATTGCAGCTATAGGTTCTGAGTCATATAGCTTTGGCTATAACCTTTTTGTTTCAGAGGACACTAGAATTTCCCCTTTACTTTTAGAAAACACTTTTGGAGTAATCTGTTGGAAGTCAAATTTTTATAACAAGTCCAACAGAAAAAAAGCTCCAGAAGTTGGCACATTTGCATTGCAGCCTCTAACAGCCCATCACCAGCACCATCTAGTTTGTTGCGTTTATATTCCACTATTTCTTTTGCAAGGAGCCCTCCATCCACTCTCCATTTTATCCTCCAACAACCCAGTGAGGCATGTTAGGCTGAGGTCAGCGATTAGCCCAAAGTCACTCAAAGAGCTTCAGGGTTCGGGGGGTCTAGAGACGCAATCTCTAGCATCCCAGTCCAACACTCTTCTTGCTACACTGGACTGGCTCTGTGGCCGGAATTTTTCTTTCCATCCCATTGCAGAAAGGTCTGGGCCAGAAACAAGGGTTGTCGCCATAGCTGCTACTGCCTACCCCTGCGATGTGCAATGGAGATACTGTGTCCCTGCCTGGAGGCACAGCATGTGCGTATGCCCAGACACTTCTATGGAGGCTGCAAGCTTGCAAAGCACAGAGCAAGCTTCCACAGCTGCCAAAAGATCTCTGACACACTCTTTAGCTATGATGGGATCCAAGTATACCCAAGCATGTACAGGCCCTGGCTATTTTGGATGCCAGGAAGTACTTCCTGTCAGGTAGGACCCCAAGGGTACGGAATGGGCTTCCAGGGGAAGGTGTTCAAGGATAGGCTAGACATGCACATGGTAGGCATGTGGTGAGTGGAGCCGGCTAGAGCTGGGGGCGGGGTCAGACTAGATGGCCTGGGAGGCCCCTTCTGACTCTCTCTATTTCTATGCTTCTATTCTGATGTCAGACACATTGTGTCATGGGCATTATGGGGCACTGCATGGGCAGACCGAGCAGTATCCATGATATGGTGGAGGGTGAAGCATGCATGCACAAGAAGATTCAGGGTTTCAGCATGTTCATTTTACAGGCTTTGGGTGTTCTTGTGCATGCCTCTTGGTGAAGACCTACTGATCTCCTAAGCTGCAAAACAGCTTCAAGAGTGTAGAAGGGAAGATGTCCCGTCACACACTTTTCTCCTTTGAAGATCTTCAAAAGACACTGCAGACCTGCCCATTTCCACTGTGCCAGTCCTATCATTAGGCAGAATGAGGCAGCTGCCTTGGGCAACTGACTTCAGTTGTCATGAAAATTCAGGAACGGGTTAGTGAATCTAATGTATTATTGGGTGTGGGTGGAATTTCCAGGACTGCCTCAGGTTCCAAAATATCTTGGCTGACTTTGCTTCCCTGTCCCAGGCAAGTGATTCCCCCCATGGCTTGCATTTCCACTCTTCCAGAATTTCTCCTACAAAATTCCTCTTGCAAGCTCCTCTTGCACATTCTAAGACTGAGCAATGCCTACCCAGGGGTGCTCTGCATTGTGAAATCTTCCACAGAACTGGGCTGGGTCCTTTTGAGGAGGCCAGCTATGGCTAGCCAGCTGCTCTAGGAAGCACAGGCTCTAAAAATACCCGTGGAGGCATCGCTTTTCTGTGTGCAGGAAAAGGGGCAGCTCAGGCCCTTAGAAAGTTCCTTACGGCTCCTCTGGAGAGAATGGCTTTTTCATCCAATCTGAAAGCAGCGCCAATTCGACGGCGGACCTTGGGGGGCTTCTCTCCTAGCTTCAGAGGATACTCTGTGGGAAGCATTCCCGTCAGTTCCTGTCAAGGAAATGGAAAGAGGAGGTTCAACTTCCAGCACAGCGCTCCACAGACGCTGGGGCAGGGCCGGCCCCACCATGAGGGCAGAGTGCTGAGGTGCCTCAGGCTCGTCTCCAGCAGGGTGCGGTAAGGGACATCGGCTATTTGCCCGGCATCTTACCGCTTCGCGCAGACACAGCCTCCTCAGCTCCTGTACGCAGGCCTCCAGCCGCTCCTCCAGTGCCTTCTGCTGTTTCCTCATAGCTTGGGTCAGGTCCTTCATTGGAGACATGGGGCTGTCTGGTCCTGAAAGGGTGAGACAGACACAGAATGACTCCTCTGCTGGTTGCTGTGGGAGGGGAGGGAAGCAGCATCCACCTTTCGTGAGACAGACAGCGATGCCCCCTGGCTGCTTTCTGGAGCCAGCTGCAGGTCTCGCAAACGCATCTTAAAGGCCTGTGTCATTAACAGCGATCATAAAACTGGGGCGGAACTTCAAAGGCAAGGCTGTTTTGACAGCTCATCAGGTGGGCGATGGCATGTGTGCAGCACTAGAGACTGATTAGCTCCCACTTCACAGGCTGCAAGCAGCTCAAGGTCATTGCAGATCAGATAAAGAGGGGACCTGGTGGTGGCATTCCTGATGGTTTGGTTTATTAGAAAACTGAGCAAATAGCTTTGCTGCTCTGCCCATAGACCGGAAAAAACAGGCAGGCTTTGATCTGCATAAGCCTTAAGACACTATTTCGAGAAGGCTGCCGCGCTCCCTTAAGAGGCATCCATGTGGGGCTTCATCAGCTGCTGGCTACCTGCAAGGTCTGATCTCAACCCAGACTGCTTCATTGCCCAGAAAGATCTATGCACATATGTCAAAGTGCAGGGACAAGGCAGCAGTTCTGGATCCTATCTTGTACCTTTTCAGCGGTGCTTCAGGAGGAAATATCTCCAGTGTGCTGCTAAATTCTGAAACTGAGGATATTTCTTTTTCAGTTGTGCTCTAAGATATCCAAATCGGTACCAGGAATTGCAGAAGGAATCTGTCCACAAGAGGACGCTGAATGAGGCACTCCCTTCTGCAATCCTATATATACTTACCTGGGAGAAAGCCCTACTGAACTCTTACAACTCAGCTTAGGCATGCATCAGATTGCACTGCAATTCTTTTATTTCAGTGTAAACTTCCATTCAGCTCTTCTTTCCAAGCCAAGGAATCCTAAGCTACACGGCCCTTGCCTTTGAAATGCCTACTGTCCTGAGCAGGGGTCCTCAAACTTTTTCACCAGGGGGCCAGTTGAAAGGTGCTGGTGCTAGGCGTGGGCCAGAAAGGTGGTGCTGGTGGTGCTGGTGGTGCGTGCGGGCACGGCGCTGAGGCGGGAGGGCGCGCAGCGAGGGGAGGCGAGGTGCGCACACTGTGAGGCGGGGGCAGGCATGCGCCGTGAGGCGAGTGCGCAAGGCAGCGGCTTCCTCGCTTGGAGATCATTTTCTCTGAGCAAGCAAACTGCTGCCTCCCCGCGCACGGGGCAAGGTGGGCAGTGGCGCGTGTGCACACGGGTGCGCGGTGCATCCAAATGGGCATGGCGGGCCAGATCTGCCCCCCGGGCCGTAGTTTGAGGACCCATGGTCCTGAGAGCTCACTTCACCCATCTAGTGCACCAGTTTTTCAATGGTTTGGCACTTTCTGCTGTTGCTTTTAATCTAGGAGGAGAGCCAAGAAATAGTTCATTGGCATGGGAAGTAGGAAAATTGGAGCAATGGCACATTGGGATTCAGGGATCTTGAGATTTGCACACACACTGCAGAGGACAGTGGTGCAGCTTTAGTGGCACTTGCAACCCGGGTCTTCCAGCTCAGCTCTTGCTTACAGCGGCCACGCATGGCAATCAGATGCTCAGAGGCAGAGCACCTGCTTTGCATGCACAGGTCCCAGCTTCAATCCTGCCTGAAAAATCTCCTGCCAGAAACCCAGAAAAGCTGCTGCCCACCATCGCCTGCAGTGCTGAGCCAGTGGGCCTGATAAGGCAGTTTCCTAGCTCCTGACAAAGCAGCCTCTGGTGAAAAAAAGAATCAATGTGGTGTGACCCATTTCCTTGTCAACATGCACAAGTCGCTCGGAAGATGGAAGATGCCACCGGCAACACTTCCTTTCCTTCATGAGCAGGAATGTCATTGTCACTACACTGTCACTAGAAAGGTGAGGCTGCAGTATTTGCTTTTGCTGCAGGGTTGCAACCCAGAACTTTTAGGCATTTTTTTTAATGGAAAAGCAGTTTCTGAAGCTTATAACTAACTAAAGGAGTGCAAGGATTACTGTTCTTGTAGAAAGAATGTCAGCTATAATCAAGTCCTAGTTTTCCAGTAAGGGAATCTCCCAAGAAGCCACTTACTCAGGGCAACAGGGGGCTAATGACCACATCCTCCTGGATTTCCAGGCTACCTGTCTCAAGAGCTCTTTCTGGTGGGTGATCAGCTAATGGGTATGGTAGTGCAAAACCGCCAGGGATAACCTGTTGTTCTCCAGATGTCTTGGCCTACACATCCCATCGGCATTCACCAAGGTGCTATGCTGGCTAGGACTGATGGGGGCCGTAAGCTAACATGTAAGAACCTAAGATCAAAGTTCTGTCTTAGGAGCAGGTTTCCTCTCATCCATGTTCCCCAGCACAGCCATACTGGCTCTGCTACTGGGGGAAGCAAACAGCCATCAGGACCAGCAGCCACCTATAGCTTTCTTCTCAATTAACTTGTCCAACCTGCTTTTGAAGCCATCCAAATGGGTGGCCAACCGGGGAGCCATGAGTTGCCTACTCCTGGTTCAAAAGAGAAGCCTCCACCCAACCCAGTCCTCAAGGCCTGACCCCACAATTGAGGTCACTTGCTCCTGGCTACGTGCGCCTCATTCTGAAATCCCACTGAACCTTGCCAACATCTGAGGCTGCATCCGCAGCTGGGAGAAAACACGACTGAAGCAAGGCAAACGCTGGGCCAGCCATGACTAACACGGCCAGGGAAATCTTTTCACAGCTGTGCTTTCTCAAGCAGTCACAATGCTCGGGCAGCTGCGGTGGTGGAGCTATCAGCCTCCGCATGTGATCTCAGCCTGAGGCACCTCGCTGGCCTGCAGCAGGAAGGCGACCCGAAAGAACAGTCACGCTTGTTCAAGCAAATTGGCCCAGGAGCAAATCCGAGCGGGGATGCATTTCTTCAGGCCGGAATTTCCCCATGAGTCACTTACCTGACTGCACTATGATCCCACTGTCTGTGTCACTGGTCTCATCCTTACTTTTACTCTTCATGGCTAAGCTCTGGATGCTGGAGGGACACAGAAGAAGAAGATGGTCTGCGAACACGAGCGAGGCAATGAGTGGGGGGCCCTTCACACGAGGCGGGAAGGAAGATCGGCAAGGATTGCCACAGCAAGGGACGGCAAGCCTCGTGAGGCTCCCCGTGGCCATGCCCCCTTTTCCTGCCCCCACCCCCTTTTCCCAACCACCAATCATGTGTTGGTTTTCTAACTTTTGTGCCGATTTCTTCCTTTTCTAAAAGGTTGCGATCTCTCTCCTAAGGCTTATTTACTGGCAATAACAGCTTTCTTCCACCTTGCCCATCACTAGGATGGCTCCCGACAGCATCTCCTATACTGAATTTGGGCCTTGGGCTGAAAGGGGTTCCCCATCCCTGCTGTCGTAGTTCTCAGAACAGATACCTGGAACATTTAGGGAGGCCTCTGACCCTGGGGAGGCCCTCTGTGCATCGGTCTTCAGCAGACCTAAGCCGCACATTTCATATTGTCACTGACATGTCCATTCAGCAAAAACAAGAGGGTTTTTCCCATATGCAGTCCTGTTTGTGGGTCGACAGTTTCAGAAGTGGGTTTTGCTGCCTGTGGTTTTGCAACTCCTGATCCACACTGAGCCCGTTTTTCTGGGTGAGAGCAGTGGGATCCTGCCTCCAACATAAGAGGTGGGGGTGCTGCATTCAAGCGCTGCTTTCCTGTCCCTCCTTCTACCCCTCCCACTGCTCTGCTCCCCTTCCACAGTACCTTTCTGGGCATGCATGCTTGGGAGTGTGATTTATCTGCATGCACGGCTTTTCTAGGGAGAAAAAGTTGGCCAGGGATACAGTATTTTGGAATGCCTTACTTCAGAAATATGGGCCACACAGCTCTCTACCTCTGCTGACTTACTGCTTGGTTCCCAAGAAACATGGCTGCTGGAAAGAGGAGATCTGGCCAGGAGCTGAGGGTAGTCTGAGCAGCTCCCCCTCTCTCTGCCTTGTAAAAAGAAAGTCTCGCTGCCCCCACCTGCAAAGCACCACTGCTGTACAACCGTCCCACACAGTTTGTATATTTGCTACTTATAGTCGTTGTATAACTCTGCTCTTTTGGAACATCACTGACTTAAACTTGGATTTATTTGAAAACATTAAGCACCACTGCTACAAAGCTAGATGGGTGATTTCAGTATTGCATTGCAGGAGTAAAGCAGCAAAGGAACAATAATTAAGAGGGGGCTAATGTCATTCGAAGAGCTCACAGGCAGATTCCCTCCTCCACAGGGAAAGCTCCTCCACAGATGCATGCAAAGGCAGCCCCCAGGTTATGAACAAGTTCCATTCCTGAGGAAACGGAAGTCTTTAAGTCAAATGTGTATGTAAGTCAGGTCACAGATAGATGGCCCTCCAAACTTGCAGGGGTTGGGGGAACAGGACCCCTTTGAAAGTGGAAAAACCACAAATTTCTCTACCTTGCTCCCACAAACTCACCAGTGCCTATTCTTTGCACCAAGGAAGTGCCAGAGAGACTTCCCTCTTTGGATGGGTGAGGTAAGAAGGCATCCCCTCTCTCCCCTTTTGCTCCCTTTCTCTCTATGGCGATGCTTTGGAGGCCCTCCCTCTCTCCCTTTTCACTACCTCTCTCTCTATGGTGATGACAATTTTCTGCAGCAATTTAAAAAAAAATAATAGGCTTCATGGCTGTTTGCTTGTAAGAACAAGTTGTTCATAAGTTGGACAGACTGCCTGTACACTATCACCACCATCATCACAAAGCTGTCCCACACAATCTTAAACTGTGTAATGTTTGCTTAGAGTCCTTCAGCAATTGTCCTTCTAGAATACCAGACATTCTGTGTATCTTAAAAACAAAAACAAAAATACAAGGCAAAACTGCAGGCAATTTCATTACTGGCACTAAAGACATTGCATGGTACAAAAGAAACAATTAACTTGAGTGGCTGCTAATGCTATTTTGAAGAGCTCAGCACATGACTTTGCCACAGAAAATACCAGGCGAGCAATCAGTGAAGAAGCATCTCTGACAAGCAACCCACCTTCCCCATGGACTTCTTCCATGCTGCTTCCTTTCCACGTTTTTCTGTCCACAACTTCAAAGAACATGTGCAGCTATTGTGCTCCTTATGGATTTTTCTGCATTCAGTAACAGTTTGGGAGAACGGCTAGGAAAACATGGTGGATTACAGGGGACTGAATCCCCCGTGAAATTTGAGTGAATAAGCCATGGTGATTCCTCCAGAAACCCTCCTCCGGAAAAGCCCAAAGACCACTGGCTTGGACAGGCTAGCACTGGCCATCTTGCCTACACAATTCAAGATGCAACGTCAGCTGACCACACAAAGTCACAGTTTCTGCTTTTGAGGTGTATGCAGGGGGAGTGATTTCTGAGTGTTTGGTTTGGTACTAAAGCATCAAAACAAAAGGAGGAAATGCTCCTATGCAGAAATACCTATAAATAAATATGTAAATACATGAACCTTTTGCATAGCCACAAATCTGAAAACCTGCTTGCACATGTAATGTTTATTGGATGCACCCAATGTGGGACAGTTCTTCCTTGGGAACATAAGCTGAAATAATCCCCCAATTCAGGTGAAGCTGCACATATCACAGAATCTATGCTGTAATTCATCTAATGATCACTTAGCATTTATATAATGCTTTTAAAGTGTTCCAACTGCTTCACATAGATTAAAATTTTATACAACAAACCTGTAAAGTAGGGGCTTCCCTACACAAGGCTTTTCTTGTGCCCTAATGATTCCTCATGCATGGTAGTTTGGGGTACTTTACAGATCATTGTCATGCTCTAGGGTATTTTCTGGACTTTCTGAGTATTTCTGCAGCTGTTTTTAGAATAAGGACAATGAGCTATTAAAGTGTTAGTGCACTATAATGGTTGCATATTTTTTTGCAATTCCACTATACTGCTGCTCCACCTTGTGGTTGTGTAATGGAATATGTGGAAAGGTAAAGAAAGAAAACCCTGTAAAGGAGGAAAAACCCATCTAAAGGAGCCAATCTTAATCCCACAAAGATTCTAGAAGCAGAAGCCTCAATAAAGTGGCAGCTTAAAACAGGGCTAAAACATTTTTATTTATTTATTTATTTATTAAAACATTTCTATGCCGCCCCATTCGCCGAAGCCTCGGGGCGGCTCACAACATAAAATATAATACAAGAATAACAATATAAAACTAACAATATAAAATAAATAACAATATAAAAGAAGTTGCCCTGGCCAGGTAAATAAGCAAATACTGTTAACAATTAAAATGACTCTTAAATAAAAAGGTCTTCGCCTGGCGCCGAAAAACAAATAACGACGGCGCCAGGCGGACCTCTCTGGGGAGCACATTCCATAGATTGGGCGCCACCACAGAGAAAGCCCTCCTCCGAGTACCTACCCTCCTAATTTCTTTCACGGATGGCTCCCAGAGAAGGGCCTCTCCCGCAGATCTCAAGGGGCGGCCGGGCATATATGGATGTAAGCGCTCCTTCAGGTAACCAGGACCCAAGCCGTTTAGGGCTTTATAGGTCATCACCAACACCTTGAATTGGGCCCGGACTTCAATGGGAAGCCAGTGAAGCTGACGGAGGACTGGAGTCATGTGAACATAACGCCCAGTCCCCGTCAGCAGCCTGGCAGCTCTATTTTGAACCAATTGAAGTATCCGGACCGTCTTCAAGGGTAGCCCCACGTAAAGCGCATTACAGAAGTCCAGACAGGAAGTCACCAGCACGTGTGTCACTGTCGCCAGGCAGTCAAAGTTCAGGTAGGGGCGCAGCTGATGAATCAGCCAAAGCTGAAGGAAAGCGCTCCTCGCCACCGCTGTCACCTGAGCTTCCAATGAAAGCTCCGGGTCGAGGAGCACTCCCAAGCTGCGGACCTTGTCCCTAAGAGGGAGTGCAACCCCATTCAGGACTAGGTCAAATCCACCCTCTCCGAAGCCCGATCCGCCAACCAACAGAACCTCTGTCTTGTCTGGATTGAGCTTCAGTTTATTGGCCCTCATCCAGCCCATTACCTCGGCCAGGCACCAGTTCAGCACAGCCACTGCCTCACCTGGATTGGTGGAGAACGAGAGGTAGAGCTGGGTATCATCAGCGTACGGATGATTCCGCAGCCCACACCTCCTGATGACCTCTCCCAGCGGTTTCATGTAGATTTTAAACAGCAAAGGGGACAAAATGGATCCCTGTGGTACTCCATGGCATAGCTGCCATGGTGCAGAGCCATAGTCCCCCAGCAACATTAGGCTTAATGTAGAGAATCCCTCTCGTAATACTACAACCTGGACTCATCCCACAAAGCTGAACAGCAGGAGATTCAGGACAGATAAGAGGAAAGCCTTCTTCACACAGTGCATCGTTAGAAGTATGGACTTTGCTACCACAAGATGTGGTTAGGGTTAAGGACAACTTGTACAACATTTAAAAAGGATTTGACATAGATGATAAGACTATCACTGGATACTAAGCATGAGGACTTAGTATACGAAGCAGTATGCTGGGGAACATGAGTGGGTGGGTGTTATTGCTTCCACGTCTTCTTGGCTTCCCATAGCCATCTGTTTGGCTATTATGAGAACAGAATGCTGGACGGGAAAGGTCTGATACAGCACAGCTCTTCTCCCTCTCTGTTCCTTTACTGAATAAGACCAGGTAGCAAATATCTAGTTTGGTAAAGGTTGTGGGGAGACAGGTAGGCCTTAGAACTATGTCTCACTACTACCATATAACCCTTAGAAGATATACTCATGTTACTGTCACAGTTTAGTGGGGCTTCTGGAAAGCAACCTGATAGAAAGTTCTTGGCTCCAGCACATAGATACAGCCCCCTTAGTTCACCTGCTGCCCTCTTTTTTCCTGCTACCTTGAGAGAAAGTCCTGGGGATCCTCCCAAAACACTGGTAGGAGAGGCCAAGCAGACAGCTCCATGGTCCTAGCAGTACTATACAGAAGCTCACCCAAGCAAGGAGGTTCCCCATCCCAGGGTGAGAAGAACAGACAGTCACTCAGGAGCCCGTTGCAGAGGTGCTCCTTGGTCCTTGCCCCTTCCCCTGACGTGGTGGGCTGCTCCAAGTCTCCCTCCTACAATCATACGAGCGTTTGCCCAGCACTTCCCCACCAGCACTTCCCCACCCGTGCCTGGCTGAGT